AAAATGCTGCCGGTAAGCATACTTCCTATTAAAGAGTTAAAGGCAATTACTTTAGCCACCACAATTTATCGGGTTTATAAACTTATGACGACTTGCGTTAAAAACGTGTTCTCTACTGACTCTTCCTCCCGAAAAAAAGGTACCACAGGTTATTACATTTCAACGTGTAAGCTTTTAAGTGTAAGCTCTTTAGTCATTCTTATAAGAGGTATACTAAAGGGGTAAGCATTCTCTAGCCATAATTTTTTTAAATTACTTATATCTTGTAAATTAATAAAGCCTTTGCTTTATATTTAAGATATGAGACCACCTTTTTCTTGTTTTAGCCCTAATCCGAAAGAAAAGTCCTATGAATATGAGACTACGAATGACTTAAATCGATCTTTTACTTGCTTACTTAGTTGTGAACAGCCCGAGAAAGAAAATGTAACTCCTAAAAAAAATTCTGAGTAGCTATTTAAACTTATCTATGACAACTGCTTAGGGAGGTAAAAATTCACATAAAATGTTACTGGATGCCATAAAGTCCAACGACGTGGAGTTAGTCAAACAATTGTTACTTAAGTATTTAGGGGTGAAGAATTCAAAAAGCAGTCCACTTTGTCAGAGTAAGAACGAAGGATTACCAATCAATCGCCCAGATGAAGATGGTTGGACACCCCTCCACTGGGCGGCCGCCCTAGGAAATTGCAATATTATTATGTTGTTACTTAAAACTAATGCTAAGGCTGACATACAAACCCGAGATGGAAGAACCGCTTTGGAATTGGCGCTCAAAAGGGGTCATATTGAAGCATGTGAATTATTGAGTAATGTGGTAAAAGTTTTCAGTAGTAGTGTAGAATATGAAAAGAAAAATAACCTGCACACTTCGACAACTTGTTGTTCTACAAGTATTTACAATTCTTATAACTTAACGTCAAACCCTGCTAGCAGTAAGTCGCGTTTATATTGCGGAGCAGGACATGGGTTGAAAGTGAATTCTGTAGAACTTTGTTCAGATAGGAATACAGCCAAGCGTTCTATATCTTTACCTCTACCTGAACTAATGTTACCGTTACCAAGACAGTACCAGACAGTACAAATTAAAAACAATATTTATGATATGGAAAAAAATAATTATACTTTAAGAAAAACTGTTTCAGAATGTCCCCAAAGGGCCATATGCAACTCAACTTGTTACTGTCATATTAATAAATGCTCCACTTACATATCAGGTAATGAGGTTAATGAAGGACCTGAAATACTGAATTCCTTCACTTATGCTACATGCTATCCAATTAAAACTAATAATTACGATAGCAAAGTATTCAAATTAGAAAATGAGCATTCAGACTGCGCTGACAATTTAGCCTTACGATGTAATTGCTTCCGAACTAATGAATTTTATCAACAAAAATGTGGAGACTATAGTTTTACTCCTCTGAATTCAATTTCTTTTCAACAAAGCGGTTTGAAAAAAGAACCTCAACTATTAACGGCTACGCATATTACAAGGAACAATGACTGCGAATCAAACAGAGACCTATTACTAAGGAAAAGTGAAACTATAAAAGGTGAATATTTTGGCCCAAATAATCTGCGAGCAACTTTAAAAACCAAAAAAAATACGGTTACTAAGACTTCACGTCGGTGTTATGATTGTGGAACGACCAGTACGCCTCAATGGCGCAGGGGACGAAGGGGGACAGTAATGCTCTGTAATGCTTGTGGTTTAAAATTTATGACGCCCAGTAAAAGGATTGAAAAAAACCGACGGCGAAGAGAATTATACGCTTTAAGTCGCTTTAAGAAGTTGCAGTATACAGAGGGAAGTCAACAATGAATTACAATACACCTAAAAGTGCATATCTCTCTTTATTACGAAGCAAAGTTGTTAATATGTTTTTATAAATCATTTAAAGATTTTATAAATTTGGAGTTTTTTGTATTTTTAGATAATATAACTTCCTATATTATAGTTATAGATTGCTAGGCTTGTTGAAGTTAATAGTGTCTATAAAAGCTGATATTAAACAGTATTAAGTGTATGCTGCCGTAGGCCATGCAAAGGTGCAAACTTGATTTTCTTCTTACATATTTAATAAAGTTCTAGCTAAGTTCACAGTACTAATATGTTACAGTCAGTTTTCCCATATGGTAATCTCCTAAAAATATAATTTTTTAACGTAAACGAATTTCTCTTGTTGGTGTATATAATAAACATTTTTCCTTTTTTAGCTTAGTTATATAAACCGTTAGTTAAAAAACCTAAGCCCATAATGATATCAAAGTATTATGTTAAGAGTTGTCAGTTAAAGTTTATTACATTGCTATCTCCCGATATAATTATGTACTATTTGAAAGACTTTGCATTAACTCGAGAAATGCCCAGCTCTTGTTTGCGTTTAAAAGTAAATTACGAGCCGTTGCATAGATAAGATATTAATACCTTTGAACTGTAGTTCACTAAGATTAAAAAGCTGTATTCGCGCAAAATAAAAAGGTACCTAGTTCTTTATTAACTTTATTGAAGATATATTACTTAAAAAATTTATATTAGTAGTTTGATTAAGTTAGGGTTAAATTTTTTAACGAATAAATTATAATCAAATAGAAGACGATAAAGGCCGGGGTCTGCGCCATAATTTTTTAATCCGTCTAGTTAAATAGATCTGAAACCACAATTTATAGTAAATAACCCGTATAACTTTTGGTAATCTATCATTATCATTTATTTAGTACAATTCTTTATTGGAGTACTGATGCGGTATACATCATCACGTCAAAAGCAGCTTACACTTGAACTAATAACGAAAAAACGTTTAGTTTCTCTTTTAAATTTTTATTAAACGACATGCAACTATTTAAATGCTAATTGAAGAGTAAAAATAATTCGGTAGGTCCCCCACCACAGTTAACCGAAACCACAGTCAGGCATTAGCCTATTTATATATTTTTTTTTCTTATTTTTTATAACCTATAATTGCAACTTACAAAAAGATCTAACTTTTTATTAACCACTCCGTTTACATTAGATATACTATTAATTTAAATAGTAATCAAACAATTTCTTTACTATAGAAATTTTAGGGAGGATACGACTTTACAATATGCTTGCGAGCAACTGGGGAAATTGTGCTCCCAAAGCAAGACAATAATTATTTTTTTTTAACACAAACACAGTATTGTACTTAGCAAACCATTAAACGCAGACCTTTAATGGCAAGTACACACAGTACTGCTTTTGATTAAGAAGGATACTAAATGAAATTGCTTGTTCTGATTAATATGCTATTTGTAAGAACAAATCATTTGTTAATTCTGTAGGATGATGAAAATACATTAAAAACTAAATTACTTAATCGAACTAAATTATGCCGTAAGTAAAATTTTTGGAGCAATTCACTTAAACACTGTCGTAAAATTTTTTTGTATTATGGTGAGGTCGTGGTAAAATTTCACACTAACTGAAGTTAAGAAACTCTTAACGATGCTACTATATAGTGCAAAAAACCATACTTTAACCTCCACTTTTTTATAAATGTAGGACATGAAAACATTTATGTACGACAATGCTATGCCTAATATACGGTTGTTTAAATAAGAAAGCAATATTGAAGATACTTTCGCACCGTAGGTAGGTTCGTTACTAGTGAATTTGTTTATAGTCTACGGGTATATAACATTTGGTAAACCACCTTAACGGTTGCAACTTTTTCCATACTATACTTTGTTCTCCTGTCGGAGCGAGGCGTGCCCGTCAGGGGAGACTTTTCGCCTACTCCTCCAATTGAGTATTTCGAAAATAGTAAAAAATGGTGAGCCATTACTTACTTCCAAGTGGATTCACGTCTTACATCTGTACACAACGAATATGCATATGCAATTTTCTTTTTTTCGGTAAAATGCAGAGGCTCGATGAAACCGGCCGCACACAATAAGTTCTCTATTTTTTCTCGTTTAAAGCAAACTATTTAAGAACTTCGCCCGTATATTAAGAACTGCGGGGCCTCGCAATGCATCGTTGTCATACTACAGCCCTTGGGCAAATAATTTAGCTTTACTAAGGGATTTAAAGAAATTTTCTTATCTATTTTCTAAAGTATATATAGATATACTTTTAATAAAAATTTAGTAAGAGAGTTTACAAAAATTAATAAGTTTTATTAACATGAAGCTTAAATTATAGTTTATTTTTTCTGGTTAAAAAAACTTTCGTAAGCCTACTCGTAAATTTTTTGTCAAGTGTTAAAAAAGAGTTTCCTTTAATAAATATGCTATATACCACCCTGGTCTATATAAAATCTGTTTAAGTGTAACTCGAGCAAGCTATCTCAGTACACAAAATTCAAAAGCTAACGTCTGCGTAAAAGTAATATCTTATCCTAAAGTATAAATTAACTTTTTATTACATATAATTTTCTATTCTAAGAAACTTGTGAATCCATATAAAATGTAACAGCGTGCCACTAACTCTCCTAATACTGCGCATACCGCTCTCCTGCGATAATAGCAAAGCGGAGAAGTACTGTAGTTTAACCAAAATACTTCGCAGTTAAATAAAAGTTGATAGTAAATATCCCTCTTATCATAACTCGCTTAGTGAACGGTTTACTGTCCATATCTAAAAAATTTTTTTTTTTAAGAAATAAGACGCTAGAACTTCTGGTAATTCTCTTAGAAGCTATGAAACACAAATATTAGCAAATAAACAATAACTTTAACTATCATTTTATTTCCAATAATAAAATATTAAACTAGAATATTTTTACTTGTGATTATTATTAGAATTCAAGCCAAAAGGTTTCCAAGTTATACGTAAAAGCAAAATACGCAAAGACTTTTTTGTAATAAAAAAAATACTTTTTGATCAGTAAAAACGAGAGCAACTACAACGTTAAGTGAAATAGTCACTTTTTTATAGTAATTCTAAAAATAAATATAAACCAGCTTGTTAAAAAAAGACCTAAATTCAAGGAAGTAAAATTTTATAGTGATGTACAAAAACAATTCATCAGTAAAAAAGTGTCCTTAATTATTATTCAATCAACGAAAAAAAAAAACAACTAAACGCTTAAAGGTCCAAAACACCCGAACGTCTCATTAATAAGTAAATTCTATTATCTATTTCAATCCCCTAAAAAGTTTGGTAAGTAAATAAAAAAAAACAAAGGATAAATAAAAAAAACCTCTAAGTTTCGAGCTTCTCCTTTTAAACGCATCAGAAGTCCACCAAAAGAAACGTAAAGAGTAAGTTTGTCCCTTTCCTCCTCCTGAAAGAAAACCAGCAATTAATAAAAGTAGATACCCACAAAATTCTTTTGTATATATTAAAAATCATTAAGTAAATCTAAGTAAAGAAGTTCTTTTGACTGTTGAAGTAGAGCAAAAGTTAAAAAGGAAACAAAAAGATATAAAAAAAAAAATTAAGAAAAATGTGAAGCGACAAATTAAGATATTAATAGTATAATTAAGTCTAACAGATAAAAAGAGTAATACAAAATTTTTTTAAAAAGTAATAACTTAAGTACCTCGCATTTAAAGATTCTTCCAAACATAACATATTCAAATTTATCCGCTAGCGAACCAGGAGCAGAAAAATCTTGCCTTATATATTCTTCGGGATCCCTATCAACTTCATTAAACAAGGAAGAAGCCAAAACAATAGTAAATTTGCTATTTTCTTCAACAGGGTATAGCTGAGTATTTATATCTAAATACATTTCCATTTCATAACTTTCAGAAGTCGCAACTATCCTGGAAACTTTACAAATATAAACTTTACAATTGAAATACTTTAAAACGTAGTAAGAGGGTAATAGAGGGGAAAAGGCTTAAATAACCTTTTTATAGCTGATAAATTATCTTTATTAATTTTTAATAGATAAAAAAATAAATATTCGTTTACTGCCTACAAATTATATAAACACCTATTTCAAAGTAATCGCCATCCGGATTTATTTCTTTAACATTGAAAATATCCTCTAGAAGTATGTTAGACATCGCTTTAACATAAATAACTATAAAATTTACAAATAGAAAGAATTCTTTATTTTTTCAAAGACTCTTTAATTTATAATTATCTAACACTTACAAACGCATACACAAGTTTTGAAAAGAATATTTTTGTACAAAGAGTTAACAGCTTCGGTGTAATGCTGTCTTCAGAATTGCTCTGTCCTGGGCGGATCTTCACGTGTAATAAATTATTTGTTCACACAACTTTTCTGAATGAATTACGGCGACTGCATATATTTGATTTTAATCAAAGTCGGAAGTAAGTTTATTTTTATTTTTCCTTTTTTATATTCAGGGTAAATTTAATATGCTTCTGTTCGGTGTTTTGCACTTAGAGCAGAAGCAAGAGTAAGAAGAAGAGAAATGAAACCCTTATTGTAAGTATTTAAATGCGGAGCGGCTGCCCGGCGTTTATTTCCATTATAAATTTATAAAATATTGCTACCTTTAGACTACAAACAGACTGCATTTTTTTTTAGTAATTTATCGTTGAGAGTATTCTAGTTGCCATCGTTCCTATATAATCCTCTGTTTTTTTTAAGATAAACCGAAACGATTTTGGTGTTCTTTAGAGTTATTACTTAAATTCTATTTGAAAAAACAGTTAAATCATACGGAGAATACCAATCTGTTTATGAAACGAAGACCTTTAAAATCCAAAAAGTATTTAAGTTTGCTTAACATTTTTTTAAACAAGGCGGCGTTGATAATAACTTGATCTACACAGTTTCTATGCTTGTATATAATTATCTATAATAATATATATTATTGTGTAGTGTATAGCTTAATTGATAGGAGAATAACTACTAACAACGACAAATAGAAATTTATTTCCTTATAACAAGTTTAATAAATATAATTTGTTGAAATAAAGGTCTTTTAGAAATTATTAAACTGGTTTGACGCGAGGCTCATAAATGTTCGGCTAACTCCTGGGAAAACTGTTCGAAATTTAGTTAAACAGTACTGACGCCTGAGATCAACTATACCTTGAAAGATGTTTTAGGTAGCATAATAAAAGATGCTAAAGGCCGTTAAGGAGTTGGGGATCAACGTCACTCACTTTATTATATTTTTCCCATCTTAAATTATCTACACGGTCCTTCGAGTGATTTACCGAGTTTAGCTCAAGAAGTGCTTCATCGGTAGTTGTGAGGGAAGGTTGCATTCGCGGGGCATTCGAGATAGCCAACAATAAGTCTAGCCTTAGTCGGAAGCTGCTGAAATCTTTTGATCCTCTTGATAACTTTCTAGAAGGTACCCCCCTCCTTCCCACCCCCCCTATCCACCCTATCATCGACTCTCCTTATTTCCTCACTGCCGAAGTCTTCTTAAATTTCCTACCGTATCTACCATTTCTATACTAGCAACCACTTTATTTTTGCTTGCTCGCTATTTATTCACAGCTATACCATAATGCTCTTTTCTGAAAAGACTCGTACACTTGACTCTATACTAAATGCGGACCCTGTAGACTCACTTTTTTCCGACCTTTTACCTACAGCAAATAACAACCTCGCTCGACATAATTTTGAGGTAGCTCCTGTAAAGGAAGCTACGAGTTTTGTCAAGAAGTGGAACAACTCTTGTCATGAAAATTTAAAAATAAAATTTAACCACGGCACGACCACTCTCGGTTTTATTTATCAGGGTGGTGTAATAGTAGCAGTTGATTCTCGTGCAACTGCTGGCTCTTACATCGGTTATACTTCTTTAGATAATTTTTTTTTAAGTTAAAAATTGGTTAATGTATATTACCTTTTTGTTTATTTATCAGCTTCTCAAACTGTCAAGAAAGTTATTGAGATAAATCCTTATCTCCTTGGTACAATGGCTGGAGGAGCAGCAGATTGTTCATTCTGGGAGCGGCAGTTGGCTCTGCAGTGCAGGTTTTCACTTCTTTTTAAGCCTTTATTCAACACTAGCAATATCATTCCTGATAATTCCATATTAATAATTAAACGTGTAAATTTTAATATTCTTAAGCTTGAAAAATATTCTTTGTTTTAAATATGTAAACTTTTATATTAAAAGTATAGAAAAGAGTTTAAAAAAAATTGATGTACAAGTATATTATTTTTCACAAATACAATGCCTATTTACACAAGTATTAACAATAGTTCTCGACTAGAGTAAAGGAATTTTATGCCTTTTTAACTATTTACTTATAAAAATAGAACTATATAAAGCCTATTATACAATAGTATTTAAAAAAATTACGTTTTCTTGTTGGCATTTATAGTTTATCTTGAAGAAGTTATTATCAAAGTTTTAATTTATCACTTTTTTCCCTCTTAAATTGGTAGAAGCCTGAAAAATTTGCATCTATTTTATGAAAACTTATGGTAATTTCCTCATATTTTCTAGATAAATACAAGCTATGATGTATAGGTTTAAGTATTATTAGTAAAGTTATCTTTTAAGCTTCTTACTTTTATATTGAACAAGCTTCAAACTATTTTATCAAGTTTTTCGCACTTTTGAGCCAGTTACAATAACTTGCGTATATACTTAAAAAAAAAAGTAATTACAATGTAAAATGCCTGGCACAAGGCCCTCTGTAGTATCTTTTCTTTGCTGCCTGGAGGACTAAATGTTATCTGTATAATACTTTTAATTAAAAAGTAAGCTTAGCAAAATAATACTCTTTTGTTTTTAGACTACACGAATTGCGGAATAAAGATAGAATTTCGGTGGCAGCCGCCTCTAAAGTTCTTGCCAATATGGTTTACAGCTATAAAGGAATGGGTCTTTCCATGGGAACGATGCTCGCTGGCTGGGACAAGAGGGTCTCCTTTTTTGTATAAGTCATTTAGCAATTTCTTTTTCAAGTGACCCAGACTCGGCATACACTTATTTTAATTTTATGCCGTAATTAGTTCAGTTGTTACTAAATAATTTTTTTTTTACCCCCATTTCTCAGGGTCCCGGCCTTTACTATGTGGACAACGACGGGACTCGGCTAAAAGGAAAGTTGTTCAGTGTTGGTTCTGGCTCCACTTATGCCTACGGAGTGCTCGACGGTATTTGCTTCTCTGCTTTTGTCCTTGTCGCGCTTACGCTCTTCCACGGTAGCTGAGTACGACAACGAGCTGCATGACGAGGCCGCCAGAGAGCTCGGGCGCAGAGCTATCTACCACGCGGCTCACAGGGACGCCATGTCGGGCGGCTTCGTTTCAGGTTCCCCTCGTAGTAGCGCCCCTTTGCCGGTCGCAGTAGTTGACTTGTTTTTTTCCTGGCAGTCTACCACGTGAAGGAGGACGGATGGGAATTTGTAAGCAGAACGGACGTGGCTGAGCTCCACAGTATATATAAAACAGACCAGTTCCTGCCAGTTTCTTAAAAGCCGGTCTTTATATGCAGAAGAGATTGGCAATTGCGCATTTATTATTAATAAACTTATTATTTTAAAATGTCGTGTTTTCTATTTTGGTAAAGAGTGCTATCTACTAGTACTATATATAGCCGCCTCTGTGCTTCCAATTTTTAAATTCGACACCGCGTTTTCATGAGAGCCGATGGATATACCTGAACAAATCAAATCTAAGAGCGTTAAGTTCGTTGCTTTCTCTATTCCATTAGTTTAGGCACAAACAGACTTGTTGACTCAACGCTTCCAACCATTCTATTAAATTCGAACAAATCCACCTTTTTCTTATTCTCCACCAATTGTACAGTCTAACGAGTTTTTTTTATTAAAATATCTTTTATTAAAAAAGCTTCTTTTTTATTATAAAAGTAATGAAAACAAATTGATCCCTTGTAAGCAAAAAGAACTTTGAAGTAAACTTAAATAAAAATTATTAATTAATTAATTATTGATAACTTAAGGGACAAGGAAAAATTAGGAATACCAAATGGTAAATTTTAAGTTATTTACGTTACGTTTTCATAACCTCAGATTAAATAATACATTAGTCACCAGCAGAAAGAAAAAAGAATTGTGTTAAACAGTCCCATTTGCATTAGGCACGATTTTTTGCTTAATATATAAACTCCAAGATTTGGCATCTACAGCTTCCTTGCCTTATGACTTTTTAATGTTATAAAAATAATTAGAATTTAAGCTTTAGTTTGACTTTCTTTACTTTTAGCAACAAAAGGGTTTTATTAGTAGTTTAAGGTAAGACAAACCCTTCCCCCTCCCCACTTCCCCACCCCGAATTAAAGGAAAAACAATTTTTTAAAAAATCACCGGAAACTCCTTAAAAAAACCAAGACAGTTGCCCAAACTTTAACAAGGAATCAAGAATTCCTGTCTTTCGTGTGTTTTATTTAACTAATTTTTTGATTTATTTTTTTTAAAAAAAAAAAAGGTATTAAAGTTAACTATTTCATTACTTGTGATATTGTTATTGCTTTGCTATTACGTCTTTATTGTATCCAGCTTTACTAATAAAATGCACCCCTTCCCCCCGTTAATGACGCAAAGAACCGTTAGAGAAGTTGCGGTGTTTCTACATCCTCAAGTAATGAGGGAAAAAACTGATTATTAATCACGCATGTAGTAATCTGGTGCTAATAAATTAGCAGTACAAATAAATATTTCCGTGCAATTTTGACTGAAAGCCATAATTGTAATACGTCTGCGATTATTACTGATTTAGAGCTCGAGTATTCAAAAATTTAACCCGATCGAGCGCGAGGTTTTGTCATTTATAAATAAATGAACTGTCAAGAAGGAGAGGGTTGCGTTTTCAGCAATTCCCGGAAATTGTAAAGGTACTCCTTTGAAAAATGAGTGAGCTTAGAGACTGTAAAGAAAGAATAAAAGTATTTAGTAATATATATAATTTACTATATTTGTTGCTTGCTTTAATAATTTATGAACTTTTACATTGTGTTTATTTTAAGGAATTATCTAATGAAATAATTAATCTCGAAGAAGAACTTCTCTGCTTGCAGCGGCAGTTTGAAGTGGAAAGTCAGCATTGTGCTCCGAGTTTCTCTATTTTTCAAGTTTTATTAAGTTCTTAGCTTTTTTTCTAACTTAGCTTAGCTTAAGGTTTAGTCATGTCTTCTTTTTTAACTCTATTTTGCTAAAATAGTTTTTGCCATATCGACCCCTACTCCTAAAGTCGGCTTAGAGAATTCTTGTGACGTTACCCATTTTAATCCAAATGCACCGCATCCGGAGGTTTTTATTTTCTTCTTACTTTTACTTTGACATTACTTGCAACTTATATAAGTTTAAAACATAATTATGCATGCGTACGAGATTTTGTTATAAACTCAACTTCTAAAGTCGACTATACATTCTCCCTGCTTTAAACTTGTTTACAAATACTGGATTTTAACAATTGTTAAGCTTTTTATTATGTAGCACGGGTTTGAGAAAATATTAATTATATTAATTTTATATTCTCCCCCTAACAAAATGTAAAACTTTTGCGGTTTTGATTTTAAACTTTTCACTGTACATGCTTTCCCTTTTGATCTTACTTTTAAGTACTTCTGTGCGGGATTTCTAACTTTTTCCTTTTGTTTGGTTATAGTTAAGCTTTTACCTATAGCTGGAGAAAATAACAAGTTTTGCATTTTTTTTCTTATATAACGAAAGCGGGTATTACACTTGAAAAAAGTTGTTAAATAAGAGGAAAAATTAACATAAAATATGTGATTGAGAAAATTGATGGATTTTAAGTTTGTGAGCTACTTAATAGGTAAAAAAGGGGTTTCATATCAAACTTTACTTACAGACTGACTTAAGCTTGAATTAGAATAATGCCAGTTGCTAAATAAATCTTCGTTTATATTATTTTCTTTTATAAGATGACTTCTCATATTATTTATGTAATAAAATCTTTTTTTTGCTGCTTTACTTATAAATTTCGCAAGTCCTGAGCTTGTAGTTCCACGTCTCATTGCTTTTCTTCTATGCTGAGCGTATTTTTTTTAGGACACCTTTGATAAACGATTAGAGGCAGACTTTAGTCTTTTCGTCTTCTGAGACTTCTTTGTTTTCTTACGTTTCGACTTCGAAAAGTTCCAATACAATAAAAATATCGTCGAGCTTAATTTCGTAAGTAACAATTAGTGCCCTTCTTCAGCAGAAAGTAATAGTAAAATACATAAGTTAAGTATAACTGTTTCGACGGTTTTTTAAGGGACTCTACAAGTGTGCTTATAGTACGTTTGTAATTAACCTTTAATGGTGGCTCATTCTTTTGTCCACCACTTTGATTTAATTTTATATTTTTTATAAAGATACTAACTGAGCTCTCTTACACCAGCCGTAATGCGTTACCTCTGCACTTATGGTTAGTGCTATGTTTAATTTCTTTTTATGTAATTAATTAAAGTAATTAGGAACACAATATCTCTCTACGTGAAAATAAACCCTGACTTGCTGACGGATCTCACACGATAGCAAGTGAATAGAGCTTCTATGGTTATAAACTAATATAATAAAGATTATTTGCATTTTGGAACGTACTTTAACTTAAATTAGTGCTATTCACTATTATTTTAAATTAAGGCAAAAGCTCCATCCACCAAAAAAAGAATAGCTAATTAGACATAATACATAGTTCGGCTGTAAAAATGAGAAAAAATTGATTTGGGCGAAACAACTTTTTATTTAGCGGACTTATCCTGGTAGCATTAGTTGCTAAAAAAAATGGCTTAGCTTAACAGAGAATATTCCTTATTATTTAGCATTGAGCCAGCAAATGTTTTTACTAGTTAGCTATAATATTCTATGAGCTAAGAATCGCTTAACAGCGATAGTCGTGTTAATAAAATGTTTAGACAAAAAACATTCCTAGTCAAATAGTAGAGAATAGAATAAAACCAGACCGTGGAGTAAGCCAACTAAAAGTCAGTAGGATTGTAGGGTTATCTCAGAAACAAGTTGTAGAATAACAGAAAAACAGATTTTGAGACTAAGGGAGCTATGACTTAGAGAATTGACCAGACGGGCAAAATGTAGAATAACACCAAAAGATGATTTTACTTATTTTTGGTTAATTTTTAAAAAGCAGGATCTTATTATTTATATACCAGCGCTATTAACTTGGTAAAATTACTTTGTAAGTAACTATTATTTTAAGAATTTTAAGTTATTTATACCGTTTAACCTTAAATATTTTGTATATAAGAAAAAGACAACTAGAGTAAAATCATAATATCCTTTTCGACCTGTAGCCCTTCTTAGATATTAATCATTTATGCAATACTAGGCTTTTACAAAATTAAATTTCTTACCAATTTATAGATATTAGTCTCCTTTTTTTAGTTAGTTAAACTTCTCAAACTGGACCGCGCTAGACGCCAACAAAGGGGCATCGGTTGTTTAGAATCGTAGAAACTAGAACCAATTTAGTATATATCATATTTAACAAACAGCTTTTTTTGGAAATTTACACGAAAAGCCATGCATTACAGATCAGGGAGAGAAAGTAGACACTCGCCTTTGTCAACTATTATAAAATTTTAAGAGGGACAAGTAATAAAAGCGCTTAAGAAAACCATTAAACTTCGGAGGTAGAATATAAAATACTTGGACCCAGTCCTAGATCCCCAATTTGCTTAATACATACGATTAAATTATAGAGCCTAAATAAAATGTAAAAGAAAAGATTAAAACCAAAATTCTCTAATTTATTCGCACTACACTCCTCGCTCGAGTCCTTGTTTCAAGGTATATTCGCGCTTCATAAGAGTACACATATTATTAACTTGTCTATGAACAATGGCTTGGCTTTTACATAACATGTTTAAGTAACTTTTACATTTTATTAAAAATTTGCTGCATGTTTATATTAATTTTAATAGTATGTTCTTTTAAAATGAGGAGCAGTTAGTCTATGGAAAGAAAACACGACACTTCAATAAATGATTCTGCTCCCTGATAACCGCGGTTGCGTATATAAAAGTTTAGCTAGAGAAATAATTTACTGTTTATTTCCTTCATGAAGCAACTTTTTACTAAAATATTTGGAGGCCATCTACGTTCCAGCTGGAATGGTTAAAGTATCTATGGATTGAAAATCCTAATCCACATGTTTTAAATTTTTTAAAGGGCCGGAGTTAAAACTGTTGTACGTTAGGTTTCATTCGGTTTAACTTTCGAGACTAACGATACACCCCATGACATATATAACCCCCATGCTTAATTACCCAAAGTATAGGGGCCTTTTGTCAAATAAATGTAAATTAAGTCTAACTCATTGAAATTATTATAAACAGGGACTTAATATACACGTGCATAGCCCATACTCTCTGGGTCCTAATGCTCTTCTCGATAAGTTCTAGGGAACTGGTGCCATGTTCGAGAAATAAACTTTTTAGAGTAACTAAACTTTCAATAAAAGGATTAGATAAACCTGTGAGACGAAACTTGCAACTTAATATATATTTAAGTTTAATACATGTTTGTATTTCTGAACAGACTGTCATTAAGATTAAGCAACCGTACTTTCTGGTCCACTCACAACTTGGCAAGAGGCTGCTTAGCATATAAGATCAACAACTCTTTTTTTACAATAATATAATGCTTATTTACTATTCTTACATTAAGAGGTTGTAATATTTTAGTGTTAATAAAAAAATGACAGAATGGAACCTTTACCTATATGGCTAGGGTTCCCTCTCACATAGTTCAAAAGCCAAGAGATATAGAGGGCTATTGAGGAATAGGATCAAGTCATATTCTAGAACAATTATGAATCCATGAAATTTTTCATCTTTAATAAGCTGGGCAGCATGTAGTCTATAACGGACAATCACGAAGAACTTAAAGCATCGGCTGGGGTTTTTAATTAAAAAAGCGATAACATGTTGCCTTGTAAGTAGCAACCGGTATATACGTTTCCTTAGAGCGGAGCTTCAAGTAAACGGAAGTACAAATTATATTTACTTATCGCTTCTTGCTTTTTTAATATATTAGTCCTGCTCTTTTTTCTATAAACAGCTTAATAATTAAGTAATTACAACCTAAGTTAACGTAAAGGACTTTAAAATTAGCCGTGTGAATATTCAAGTGTCAAATTATATTGCTTTCATACGTTTACATATTTCTTTTTTTATAATATATCCTAATCAACTCTTAAATCTCCAATAGTGAACCCAAAAACTTGAGTTTATGCGCCAGTGCTCTTTACCGCTGCCTTATGACAAGTTTATACTTCCAAGTGTTTCGAAGAAACCTTTTAGGTACAGTTTTCTTATATTGATTTAGTTTCTTTTGTTTTAAATAGTTTTAATTTTAACCTTAGACGTACAAACAGGTATAAACAAGGGAGCACGAAAAGGGAAAAGTATTTATTTACATATACATCAGCCGGCACTGCAGTAATCATTAATTTATGCCATTTATGGTCTTTTAAGCAAAAGTATGCAGCAATACAAGTCCCTCGTGTTTTAGTTTTTATAATGGCTATTAAAGATAGACCTACCTTTAATATAAGTAAATTCTTAAGCTTTATAATATAAAAACCATCATGAGCCAAGAAAACTCCAGATCTTTATTAAATGAAGGCAGCTCGCAAGTCTGCTAAAGTACATTACAAAGCCGTACAGAAATTCGCGGAGATTTTAGCTCTTTATACTACACCAAAAAAGTCAAAAATACCTTTACACCCGAAATACAAAAGAATTGAAGTTTAAGATGAGGGTAATTTTTCGGGCCAAAACTGAGCAAAAGTTAGAAATCCCGTGTGGCCTAAAATAACTTTAGCAAGCTAAAAAGCGCACTATTATTAGGCATGGTAGTTTGCCTTTCATTTCTTCTAAGGGCCGCGCAGTAATAACTGGCACAGTTCTAGTGTTTCTAAAGATTCATAAATGATAATTCAAAATAAAAAGCAGTCAAATTTAGAAAATCATAAACCTTTTAGGTTTAGTTTTTCTATTAAAAAAGAACTGCTTTTCAGAGTTATCAACTAAAATAAAAATAATACGTATTCTGATAATATTAAAATGCTGATAAAAATGACTTAATGAAAAAGACATCTCTTCCATATTTTCATTCTCGCATGAGTCAAACTCAAACACTCGGATTTCATGCTGGGCAACTCGAAACTTTCGCTCGAGAGTTTCACAAGTGTACAAATCTTAAATTTTTTTTAATAATTTCGTAAGGCGAATTATAAGGCGCAGTACCGGTAAATCCAAACTTCTTCAAAGCCTCACAAGTCTTCTGGACTTGCTCCACACAAGGCGAAAATCCGCAGAAACGGCCTCCTTAAGAAAGACCACTAATTAATTAATTAGTCATGTGCTCCAGTAATAATACTGTTCACCCGACCAGATTTCCTAAACACCCCTATCACGTGCTCGATGGCCAACCAGGGGGTCGGGAGGTCCAGAAAAACGGCATCGGCCTTCTCTAGCAAATCTTGGCCGAAACCCTCTGCAACCTCGTAGGTTATAAGAGTAAAATCTGCGGGAGAAGGCGAGAATAGCCGCGACATATTACCACGTCCCTATGCTGACAGGACACAAGTTCGGCAAGTCCGTGAGCAAAAAACTCTTCACGGGCCAAGTCAACACGTGGTTGATGGAAATCGAAAGTGTACAAGTGCCCTTACAAGAAAGAAATACTGTAAAAACGAGCAATAAGGCAGATCTGGTTTCATATAATAACCATGGGGCATTATAACTCTCGCAAAGGCGTGAGAAATGGAACCGCTGCCGGTCCCCGCTTCTATCACAACATTTCCTTTGTAGATTATATAGCAAGACGCCATGAAAAAATTCTCAGAATGCTTTAAACTAAAAACTTTAGAATAAATATAAATGAAGCTCTACCTGGTTGTAGATCCAAGTACATACATATCATGCTTGTGTCAGTCGTGTATATAATTTGCGTTCGGTGAGGAAGACTACGAAAAGCACACGAAATCCCAAATAAGGTATCGTAGTAAGAAAAATGTATAAAGTAACCATAAGGTCCACAGCTCGGGCGTGGGATAAAGAACAATCGCACTTGATCCCTTTCCTGTCTCGATCTATAGAATTAAAATATTTATATACTTTAAAAAAATAATTTTTTTGGTACGTACAGTTTATCCTACTAGCACACATAAATGGTATTATGGTTATGAAGCTTTATAAAAAAACTGAAAAGCGGTAAATAAAATATAAACATTCTTACTTTCAAGTTTATTACAGCCCTTCTAACTTTACCTTTTATCTTATAAGAATTAATCTTATATATAACCTGCTTAACCAGTTTAGTTAGGCTTAAAGGAAGGATAAACACTAATACTAAAAAAAACAACTACAATACTTTAACCAAGGTTAACGGTAAAATAAATAAAAGGAACTATGACCTAGATTCTATGAAATATCAAGCAGTCAAAAAAGTTTTTTAAGTAGTTCTGAACAAAAGTTATTATTAGAAATTTACAAAAAAAGTAAAGACCAACCCGCGTTCCATATGGTTTCCCTATTATATTATTATGATAAAAATTCCCCTTACTAGCGTGAGTTACTCCGTCTGTGGAAACTTTAATTGGATACATCCTCTTCATGCCCTAAAAAAAAAAGAAAAACGGGCATTATTGACTCCCCAAAAAAACCAAAGACTAAATATAAACCATGAAGAGAATGGCAATATCATCTTCCCTAACGAACTTGTGGTACTGTACAAAACTCATTTAAAGCTTTTGAAGAAAGTGTGTCGATTGTGGGTTAAAGTATAGTAATTGTAACTCTGTTAAACTAAAACTGAGTCGAATTCTTCTTACCTCCTACGCCTCCACCCTTACTCACCTAAGCCACCCACCACATACACATTAGTTGGTAAACGCATGAATGCCGTACTTGCTGTGCAGCATTTTGCATTTTTATGGGAAAAAATAACCTGATTTTTACCTTTTTTGTTCAGCCTCAACAATTACCTAGCAGTACACTAGTTCACAATGAGTCTATATAAGCTATCTACTTTACCTGAGAAAAGAAAGTACGAAGATAATACTGTTTTTCAGAATTAATATCAATTGGGTGTAACAATTTTTATGGTAAAAGGGATTGGCCCTAAGCCAAAACAGTCTTTTGTAAATGTTGTGTAGCCGTGCCAAAAATATTTAGTATGAAGATGTGTTTAAATTAAATGTATTTTGGTTTTTCTACGAGATATATTGAAAATATTCTGTTAAAAGTAGATTTCATAAGTAAAAGTAAAATTTTTTTCATAGGGTTAAAGTGTTTTAAAAAATTGTGCGTCTTGTCGCTAAGAAAACTAAGGCTTATTTTCCAATAATAAAACCATAAAAAAAAACTATCAAAAGCCGTAGCAGATCCATAAAGTTACATTAGCAATTTTTTACTTCTCTTTAAAGGAACACTGTTAAGGAGAGAAACAATGGGAAGGCAGATGATGTTGGTAGACGAACAGTTCTATACATATCCGCGTGCACCTACCTTGCTCTTGCTTTATATGAGAAGTAAATTCAAAGGTCTCTATATTGTCTGAGCAAGTTTCTTAACAACGAATTGATCTCCAAACAGCACATAACTTATCAGTTAACGCAGTTGTTTTATTTTTGCACAATTTTAATTTATACAGTTTATAAAGTTTATAAAATTTAATGGAGTGATGAGGCTAAACCGTCTTCGCAGACGCATTAGAAAAGAGTTGTCTTCTTTTTGCTAGCCTCGGAGAGGCCAAACTGCGGGGCGTGTTTGCAGCAGTCGACGAAGGATGGTTTTTGTCACTGAGGGTGGCTGCAGAAAGCATATACCAAGGTAGATTTCAATATTTAAAAATTTATTAGATATTTATATGATACAGTAATTAGGCTTCCCCGTTATACCGCAAGACGTTCTACTTAAAACAAAGAGCAGGAAAAATAGAATTGCACCTGCGGGGACTTGCTATCTCTACGTATATTAACTGATATGCTAGATAAATGAATGCAAAGTCCACACTGTCAAACGAATATAAAACTATTGCATCTCCGCCATGATAATGGGGCGTGTTTGTGGCAAAAAGCGATGAAGGTATGGCGGCGCTTGCAACCGTTTAGCTGCTCAGTGCGTGCCTCCAACTTCGGTTGCTGTTTTTGGGGACAAAGGCAATACCCATCTACTCTTGGCGATGCTTATAAAATTGAACCCAATTGACGAAAAAGCTGATATTTACCCTGCACTTAGGCGGAGCAAAGCTATTAACTCCAACGGCATTTCTAACAAGATGCAAATAAAAGCAGCCACCGGTGGCATTTAGCCATCTTATTATTGACTATTGCGGGACGTTCAATAAGTCAAGAGCAAACTGTTTGGTTCGAGCGCAAGTTGCGGAGGGTGTATATTTATGTACGGACTAAGGGGTAGTTGGGGCATTCTGAGCCCGGTCACTCGCCGTTCTACTCGGAGTAGTGGAAAATCTCTATAAAACACCACCAGGAGAGGCGGCTTTAAGTACTAGACTGAAAGCCTCCTATAAACACTGGGCCTTGTATTACTGCCAGTCAGCCTCGGCTCCCCACCCTTAATATAACAATCTTTATGTATCTACATTTAAAATTATATCTAGTATAAATTGATGTAATACATATATATTATGCAATTTCATTTAATCAAGGTTAGATCCATTGAAAAGATAATTTACGTTTGCGTTCCTTGAACCGCTTAGAATAATTTTTAAATTTCTTTACATTAAGCAGGGCTAAGAGAAATTAACTTTGTAAAACAGAAAATAACTTTTATTACCAATTAAACCATTATTTCATACACTCAAATACTTGTCCTAGAAAACCTCAGGGTGCTGGTAGTGGTGTGGCGAAGAACATTTTCCGTTATGTCCTCAGTTAACTACAAAGCGGTGTATATATACAACTTGTAAGGGAACAAAGCCCTAAGATCTGAGAATAGTAAGAAAACACAATTAGTTACTTATGTAATCCAATTCAATACGTCAGATTTCATTACATTAATATCGAGATTGTAAACGAAGAAGTAAACAATGTAAAACTAAAGTTTTTCGTTAATTTAAATATATTAAACCGACCAATTAAAAAAGCTCATTTATGACATTTGCCATTTCCAGAGATTAGTTTTAGGAAATTACTGCACATACAATGGTATAATAAAGGAGGTTTAACTTCCTTTATTGCTATGTGCATTCCCTACACCGAGCCTACAGCTGTTTGGAGTATTTATAAATATTGTTGCCAGAATAAACTGACATAATTATAATACGCAAACCCTCTGACAAGGAATCACTTGATATGATATTTAAAATACCGTTTCAGCTATCGCAGCTGGCGTTTTAATGAAAAAAAACCTTCCATTTAAAATATTTAAACAAATCTTAATGGATATTTCTTTTTAAGTTCGCGTCTAGAAATCATTAGCTGAAAATAAGAGCTTGAAGACTACATAATGTTTAACTAAACGCTCAACTAATGTATTAAATATTGCAGTACTAATGTAAATCCCTTTTAACCACAGGTTTAACCCAGGTAATACTAATAATATCCGTCTTGAACTTCTAAGTTTTTCTTCTTTAAACCTAAGATTAAAAATCACTCTACTGCTGATAATTGCAAAAATAAAATATAAAACGGTAAGCGCTGTGGTGTTTATTATGTTTTTATCACTGGCGCACTATGCTCAGCTTCGCTTAGTGGGTAATCATTTATTTTCCATTAAAGTGCCCATCAGTAAGACCCTCTTAAAAAGGTATGACTGGCCCGAGGGACTGATTAGCGAAGATACACATGACCTAAACTCCCCGTCATTCGAATTAAAGTGGTGGAAAACCTCTAAGCACTGCCTTTGAGGTAGCCCTAAATTCTAGAGGCCACCTGAAGACTAGCTAGCAACCAGGCATACTTTCTTGGCCTACGAGCTATCCATAGGAGGTAGCCCTAATTGTTGTTTTTTAATAAGTATATAGATATATTTTGTAATACTTAACTTAATTATAATTATGCTTTTCTATTTAACGTTCTATCTTTTAGTCCGCACCATCTTTATGATAGCATTTAAAATAAAATGCCATGATACATGGGTCTTATTAAATAATATTTTTAAAATATGCTAATTAGATTTACATGAACTACCGCTTCCCTATATGGTAATAGCTAAAAAAAGAGGTTTACTTAACAATTTAGGAAGTGTTTTCCTGATAAAAAAGTACAATTTGCCAAGATGCAGAGCCATTAACGGAATTATTAAATAACCTTAGCCCCAAATAACACCTTTTAAAACTTAATTGAGAATCAACCGATGTTTACAACTATTTTTGGAGGGACAAAATAAACTAATTAATAACTAAGAGAGATGGATGCCACCGTGCTCTTTCTTTTCTAGATTTTGTTAGTTACGGTTTAGTAGGTGATGAGGTGTTTTAATTACTTTATTAATTATATTATATTAGATCTTGAACTTTAAGCTTGTAAGATCAACACTGCTAAAAACAACAATGACCTAATAATATTAAAGTAGGTCGTTAAACTTTTGATAAAAGAAAAGTGAACCCCTTACTTTCGTCGCAACTGAAGTGGTAAAGTGTTAGAATGACCTTAACTATTAAAGCATCTTTTAGGGAAACGTAAGTACAAAGCCTTTTATTGGGCGCAAAAGTACGAATAAAATTAATAATGCTTACACTCTTAGACTTTTCACAGATAGAAGAAAAACCACCTTGGAACTGTCAATTAATACCTCTTACAGGACAATATATTGCTTCTTTTGTGTACTAAAGTAACGTGCCAGCTTCAATATTATCATTCAGTCGAGCAGGGTAACCAAATTCCTAATGACCGTTTTTCAAGGATTCTAATGACCCGTGAGTACGATTATTCGTCTTAACTCAAAGGTCCACGAGTATCCTAGAGGGTTCCTTACTACCACAAGACGCTTTAGAATATACACTAAGTCAGACCATCTTTGGAAGGCGTCCTGTAGTCTTCATTAGTTATTTCAAATTACTAGAAGACATGGGGATGATCGATCTATATATAGAATATACAAGTAAAAAACACTAACACTACTCATCCTCCATAGTAACGACACTGGTTTAAGGTCGAGCATCATAATCTATAGGAAAAAGCACTGATACTATCATGTACCTATAGCACAAACCGTTGATTAGCCAAACTTAATACGATTTTTCTATGATTTTATAGCGGCTGTGGGGTTAGCGTTGCTTACTTCTGCATTTAAGTTTAAAGGCTTTTCAAATACTTAGACCGAACTAACACATTTAACAGAACTTCCCAAAATATAACATTACCCTCAAAACAGAGCTGCATCCGGAAGGTACCATAATCATAGTGATATGATGGTTAAATAATTACAATAATTATATATGTTAGCAACATTTTGGTTATTCGCTAACTAGTTAAGTAAGACCTTTTTGGGATGGTCCGGTTATATAGAGAAGTGTGAGTAGCACTACCCTGTATCTATAGACAAAGGCACTAATTAAACAATACGTTTAGCATTTCAGTCCGTTGTTTAGCCAAACTTTATGCTAGCTTCTTGTTTAAGCAATGACTCTAAAATCGAGCATTTGCACTAGCAATCATCACCCATTGCCAAGTTCTTGCTTCCATGTTTTCAGCGGACCTTACTCACTCTAATAGAAGTAGTGTACATGTCAACTTAGCATGTTACTACCCAACATTTCACTGCGGAATTCGCTAAGTGATTCTAGCAGACAAGCATATATATTCAAATTCTTGTCTATAGACGCATTAGTCCTAAAAACTTTCCGATGGTTTCGATCTAGGTTAGTTGATAGGTTATCCTCCGTGGATGGAACACAGGCTTAATGCAGGTTCATTCCCTTGGGTCATGTCACCCGTGCTTTTTTTACCATTTTTAAGGTCATGTTCTTCAACACGCGTCAAACCTACGGCTTAGTAGGTTGTCATTCCGTACGCGGAGCACATGATCAAGTAGACCCATTCTCTTTTGTTCATTTCACCCTCTACTTTTCAACGGGGTCAACTCTCCTGTTGCTGTTAACTAATTTACTAATACTTTAACACAATTTTAAGGAAAACAGCTAATACAGATAAGTTTTACCTCTGAACGTTATCCCACCTCAGCATGGAAACCTATGAGCAACCTAGATCGAAACTATCGGAAGTCCGTTAGGACTAACGTCAAAGTCGGACAGGAATTTAAATAGATAGGCATGATCTTTTTTGTGCGCTTTTACGACACTTAACCTGGAGAAGAGACAGCAATCTTTACGCCAAATGAAGTTAGATTACGACAATAATATAAATTCTCGTGAAGCACAATAAAATTTTAGCCTCTACTCTTTGCTTGCTTTCTCCTACTGCCTACGTGTTTTTATTTGAGAGCGGGTAATATATATTTTTATCGACTCCCCCTATTAAATTTGGATGAACTATGTGAAAAATTGTAAATGATTCATATATAATAAATGAAATTGATATGTTGTTATTTGATAAAGCAAGGGGCGTTTGGCAGGACTTCATATCAATAAATGATTATTTGCCCTTGTTAATTTTTTAGTGAAATTAGTAAGTATCGTTCCACCATGATGTTAAGTCCCGAAAAACTTATTTTTCTTAGCCTTAAGGAATTTCTACTCCAAAAAATGTAATACGTCAGGGGGACATAATAAAACGCTATAAACAGTGCTATCAAAAGTTTTTTTTAACTTTGACATTAAAAAGGGCTCAGATAACATTTGGCATACTGAACTTCCTTACAAACTTTTTTAAAAACTGCCCTTAAAATTTTTTTTATAATAGGATAAATATCTAAGGATCCTTGCCGCCTCTTCTTTTACTCATCTATAAGGCAGCCCTTCCAGCCACTATAAGAGACAGTTTTGCACTTCTTTGCGAATGATTTAGATTCTATATTTTGCATTCCTTTGTACCAGTCAATAAGACTAATAAGTGGTTCGAAATTTAAAAAGTTATTAATTTCCGTGAAAGAGTTTCGCTACACGGCGCGGGCCTCTCCCCGTGTCCTTAGGCCTATATCAGTGAATATGGACAACAATTTGAAATGGACGAAACATATTTATTGTGAAAAGAGAAAAGGGTGACTTGCCTTAACTAAAAGATAAAATTGAAGTGTCAATATATATACAATTCATCCTCCCTTTACCTAAGCCTCTTCCGCATGGGTTACTGCTCTTCTAAACACATAAGGCCTGTTGTGAATGTTTACTGATGCTCCGGAGTGTATCGAGAACGCTCAGCTCCATAGATTTAATCAATGAAGCAATCTAAGAGTACGTTAAAGCACTGTCTATAATTACCTTTACACAGATGGGTAGACTAATAAACTTAGTAAAAAAAAACTTCAATTTCACCATAAACCAAGACACGCTCCCGAGTAATTAAGTTGTGCTAATAGTATAAATAGCAATTTAATAACTAAGCTGCATGGGTAACTAAAGATGAAGCAGTAGAAACATGTATATGTAGGCTGTGTATTATTATAAAAAGATATATTTATAATAAATAAACGCTGCTCGTCGACTTTTACTTATACCGAAAAATAAAGATAAACAGGAAAAAATTACTTGCACCCCCCTTTTCGAGGTAAGTGCTACTTGTCCAAAGAATAACTAAAAACAAAGCGAAGTCAGTGTCTCAGTAACCCTTCAACCTAATGCACGGACGTCTCCTTCGGAGACCGAATCGCGGGGGGGCTACCTCGACGTTTCTTTGCTGAACTTCAGGCCTTTCGGATAGTCAGTATATTTTCTTCAGAAGGATGCTATCGCGGACAATCGGGCCCACACTTTTTCGAGGAGAGAACTGAAAGATATGCGACTTAAGATCTTTCTTTGACGCCGCTTAAAGACTAAGTCCAAATTCTAAATACGTGTGTGCCACGTGCATTTATGTTGCTGGAGAGGGAGAGTAGTCTCAGTTATATAACCATTCCACAGTTTTAGGTTAAAAACGGTGTACTTTTAGAATTTTTATTATTATTTGAAAACCGTCAATATGTTCTTACACTTGCGCCTTGGCTCTTCTTGCATCCTTAAATGCCTGTTACTAAGAAAAGGGATTTTACCTAAACCTAGCTTGGTAAAAAATTTGGAAAATTTTAAAAGTTAAGCTAATAATAAAAATCCATTTTATATAAGCCAGTGTCATAACTTTAAAGCAGTTCATCTCACTAATAATTTTTCTGAAGCTACCTCAGTTTTGTTAAAGTGGCCCTTGTTTAAATTTTATTAACTTTTACTACTACACCTTATGTTATGATAATCAATACTTTCTAGTAATAACTTTGAAGGCAGAGGTGAAGAACTTTTATCTGAGTTTGATTTGATCGATTTAGTAACGATATATTTGCTTTTTGAAATGTGTGTTAATGAACTCTTTACGACGGACTATTATAGGTTAAGAAGATAGATTTTAACTACATTAAGGCACAAGGACACGTCTCTAACCTTTCTATTTCAGCGGACCTAGGCAACAAGTGTAGCCTTGAAAAAGTAAACATCTTGTATTAACTTTAAAAACTTAAATGACATCCTTATGCGAAGGTTTTTTTACCGAAAGTAGCTATGGAAACTTCATTAAACCTGTTTAAGAGACTCTGCCCACTTTTACTAGAATGTAAATGCAAGGCCCTCGTCGCCATCAATGTTTCTGGCCGTCACGAACGTGCTAACTACTTTATTATTGTCACTACTTTATCTGCGCGACACTCCCGCAAGGTCATAGAAGAAATTAAAAAATTGGTTGTTTTTTTTTTTCATTTTTTTTTATCTATTCGTCTATCTGTTAATTAACTAGTGGCAAGAATTGTCTTCAGACAAGAATTCTTTTGTTGTCGATGAAAACGATTTAAATTGGTGTATCTTGCAAATTGAAGGAGTTCAGGTAGGCGGGTTTATATGTCCAATACGTAGGTTTTCTTAATATACAACTACGTATTCTGATAGGTACATTTGTTAGATGCCCCGACCAGGCAAAGGCTTGAACTGGAAAAGCTCTGGGTTTTGGGTGCGTTTATAGTATTAGTTGAAAAGATACGAGAAGTACTTTTGTTTCCTGCACTTCTTAAGGGAAATATGACGATCAATTATGTGATATGATGACGAATCACGTGAAGTTGATGCCGAGGGGAAAAAGAAGGATGCGGATCAAATACATTTTTAACGAAAGCGAACAGTAAAGGTTGGCAACACAAATAGTTTATTCCAGAGGCAGTCCTATGGATCGGGCTTTTTTAGTAAGCCGCAGTTTCTGACGGTTACTTCTTCCAGAGGCCTATCCCGAGAACCGGTCTCGACTTCGCTTATTTTCCGTACTACATCTTGGCCCTCAAGAATTTCTCCAAAGACCACGTGCCTACCGTCAAGCCAGGGGGTCGGGACCTAAAAAATAAAATGTTTCTTTTTACTTTTTTTATTATATAATTAATATATATATATATGTTATGGATTTCAGTAATAAAGTAAAATTTGTACCACTGTAATGAAAAACTGAGATCCATTGGTATCGGGGCCAGCGTTTGCCATGCTGAGGTAGTACGGTTTAGAGTGCTTAATTTCAAAGTTTTCATCTTTAAAACGCCTTCCATATATGGAGCGTCCGCCAGTGCCATCACCATTTTCAAAATCTCCCCCTTGGCAAGTAAAAATTATCAAAGTTGTTTCTGATGAATTTTAGTAATTTAAATATTACAAGCTAAAGTGTATGCTTGTTTTTATATAGTAAAGTGTTTATAGTTTTAAATATTATTTAGAAGCGGTTCACAGTTAACGCCATTAAACTATACCTTGAATCATAAAATTTTTAATAGTACGGTGGAAATTAGAACCCTTGTAACCTGTCAGAAATAACATGTTATTAAATTTGATAGAATTTAAAACTGTTATAACCCTTTTCCTCAGAGAGGCACAAACTCACAAAGTTTTTGACGGTTTTGGGAACAACATCTCCGAATAAGCCAATTATAAAGCGCTCTGAAGTTTTTCCTAAGATAACTTTTTTTTAACAGCTGTTATTAAGAAAATTTGAAAAGATTTTAACCCCCTATGGACACATCCATAAACACCTTCTGAGTAATTTTCGGGGAATCGTCACCATAAGCTAAAAGAAAAAGAAATGGCAGTAAATATAAATATCTCGCCAGCATATTTAAAATCTTCCCAGAGGGACCGCCCAAAGAAGGTTAAAAAACTGACAACCTCTTTCCACCACTCCATCATGCAATAGAGAAAACCCTTGCGGTGTATTTCCTCTAAATTTTAAAAGTTTAAGTGTTTGTTCCAAGTAGTTGGCAAGTTCAACGTTTTACTTGAATAAAATAATTAGCGAAGCGAATAAAAATTAATAAAAAGAATTATATAAGATAAAGAACATAGACCATCCAGACTTACTTTGGCGTTTGATATATAACCACACAATCTACATACAAGTAATATTAACTTTAATATTAAAAATAATTTATTGCTGTAATTTTTTCAAAAATTTTTGTTTAAAAGGTAAAGGTTTAGTTTTTTAAAAGTAGGAACTGTATAAAACAAATTTTATATAAAAATTAGTTATTTGATTAAAGGGGTTTTCCGCTGAGTATAAAGCTATTTATTTATTAAATTAACGTTACCTAGAACACCCTAGATATTCTGAATTTTTTATTATTTTATCATCGCTTTCTGTTCCTGCAACATGGTATAAACTGGATATAGTGACTAAAAAGAGATAAAGCAACAATAATTATAATATAGTGGATAATTGCAATTAAAACACAATAACAATTGATATTAATATAATTTTAATATAGTGGATAGTAGCAATTAAAACACAATAACAATTGATATTAATATAATAGTAATAATGATGTGTTTTTATTAATAATTTTATAAAATTTTACAAAACAACAGTGAAGGTTTACTGTTTCTTTATTTTTGTAATATATATATATTTATAAAGGAAATTTTTCAATGTAGGCAGTTTTCAGTTTTACTTAGACATGACCCTTAAAGGCAACATAATATGACAGAACCTCCCAAACCCTCACCTCGAAAAATGTAGATTAAGCAGATTACTTTATTTATAACGACGGTAACATGCAAGTGCAAAAAATAAATAAATAGGTATATAATGTATATTAAAAGGTTCACCCGCTTACCCTAAGATTTAAAACCGAGAGGATGATCTTTTGTAATATTATTATTTATGCACGTTATCTTTAAGCACAGCGTGCTTAGCTTTAAATCCTGTTAAAATGAGTCTGCTACACTCTCCTCATTACAATTATATCTATATTTTTTTTTTAAATTAAAGTTACAACTTGATGCTTTGTGTTCATCAACAGAAATTTATGGATCATTATTTTGCAATTATATTGTGTTCTTTTTACACGAAATTAAAATGTAAGAAAAAGTTTTTATATCTTTTACTCATAACGTGGGTTCAACGAGTCCATGGTGTTCATCCGCACATTTAACGTGTTGAAACATGGTATAATTAGCGCAGAAATCAGCTGATATAATTGCTACGACTTAAGTGTTACGTCTTCGATTTGCGTAAATTTTTTAGTCTTATAAGTTTACTTACAGCTAACATTAAATTAGGTGGGTAAGTCTTTAATTAAACCATAATTGGTTTGCGATATCATATATTTTAAATATCAGAATGTCTTCAGGTCATTATATGTCAGATAAAGACATGAAGGTATTTAGATAACCTCAGTGTTGACAACTCTGCAGCCCTTGACAGAATGGAAGAAGATTATTCTGGTCTCTGATCATGAGTCAAAATCATCAGATATACCAGATAGAGTAGCTTCTGAGTCTAAGGAGAATGATCTGGATTTATGCACAATGACGACAGCGGAAGGTGGAACTACATGGTCTTGTAGCCCATTCCCATAAACAAAAACCCAATCACTCAGTTATTCTATTTTGAGAGGGTTACAATATATGGGTTTATTCTTAATTAACAAAAAAGGTTTAGAGTAGCAGTTTTGGTTTTGGCCTTGTTACATTCCCGGTAGTAACTCGAACATTGATGAGCAGTTAGTACATTTTCAAGGTAAATATTTGTTCAGGCAGTGACGACTCAAAAATATGGTGGCTATTCGATTTAAAAGTTTTTATCCACTAATGGTATTCCATATGTAGGAAAACAAAAAATGAACGAAGGTAACATAAATTAGCTACAAGCGGAGTTTTAAGGCTAACAGAACCAAATCATCACAAAAGCCGCAATGCAACGTGTGGTACTTATTTAACTGAATTTGAATTAGCTACATGGTTATTATTAAAAAGACTACACTATACGTTATATAAGAAAAAATGAGATTCATCCCTACTAGTTTTTTACCTTATGAACACAAAGAAGAAAAATCTTCTATTGATATGGGAAGACATGACGTTAGTCTCCTATGTGCCTAGGAAGAGAAAAGTTTGACACTTCTTTAACAGTGCAGGTTGACATTGGCAATAAAAAGACATAAAAAAATCCAGTATTCAGAGAAGATTCACTAATGGTAAGCTAGTCAGTTGCTTGATCCACTAGGAGATCGATAACACGAGACTGAATTTACCTAATGTTTGGTAACCAAGATTACTTCCTAGTTTAAAAGGTCATAGTTTCTGCAAGTTTTGTATGTTTTACCTTGGTTCATAAACCCTAGCACAGGAAACTAAACAACATTACAAAGATATTTAAAATTACCCAAATATTACCCCTCCATGCTAGGGAAGCTAAGTGCTACACGTTAGCTTGCTTAAAAATAAAATCGAACCAACGACTTTACGGTAAAGAAAAAAGGTTATTATACTTTATTAGAAGGCAAATAAAAAAGGTGTAGAGGTCTAGACCAACTGGTTCATGAGAATGTGTCCAAGAGAAAAACAAATAGTTGGCCGTTTGGCTTTTTTTCTCTGGATTACTGCGGTGTTTCTACTCATGTAGTTTGAACAAAACTACATTCTAGTTGGAATAGTAATAAACATTAAAAAGATTCCTTTTGAAAAAACTCACAGAAAGTCGGATTCCTCACATTTTCGTCGGTTTATTTACAACAACAACAGACCGGTTTTATCTTAAAATTACAAAAAAGTAGTCTCTTACTAACCAATTATTTTTTAATTTTTATTATTTATTCGAGCAAAATAATATTAAAACATAAACGATGACTTAGCGATTTATCAAACTTGAAACTTTTTTGCATTGTTTTTGTTTTTTTGGATGATGGCTAAGGATGGTCTGAAGCTTAAGCGTTAATGAAGACCAAATAGTGTTATAAATTGAAATATATATAACGAATGGTTAAAAGGGCCAAAGCCCGAAGAATTAGGGGCTAAAGAAAATTCAAAGTGAAAGGTTTGGAAGCAAACAGCACAGGTACACAGTGGCTGTGACTACGCGCTTGTCAGAAAATAAAGATCTCTCGGATGTAATGCGAAGCAATTCAACAAAAGATATTGACTTTGCCTTTTTCTTCTCTTCTCTATTAGTTAGATAAGAGTCGCCAGAGTGTAAAAGAAAGTTCTACGCGAAGGGCAGTAATAAACAGCATGAAGTAAAAAATAGAAAGATTAGTAGTAAACAAGAGGCAAGGGTTTCTAATTTTTCAGTGAGGAGCTCACAGCCGGGAAGGCCTCGCTAACGGTGGTGCTGGTTGTTGTCTCTAGACGGCTTCGGTTCTAGTGTTTATGGATGCTTCCGCGGTGTTGATTTTTAGCAATTTTTCACTACGCTAGACCAAAAATGGTGGGGGCCCGGGTCGAATGGACCAACCACCTACAGAAGGGAGGATTCCTAATTAAGCGGCTTAAGTTCTCTTACGAAGACCGGCTGTAGTATGCAAATGCCTACAAAATAATAAATTTTAAGAGGCAACGGGGTTTTCCTCATTTCTTATTTCTTTATTCGCTTCTTCGATCGCTTTTCCCTTACCTTCTTCTTATAGCCTTTAATAGAAGAAGGCCAATCAAGCGACGAAGAACCATAAAAGAATAAAAGGTGCTAATTCTGTCCTACAAAAAATCTTGAATGCAAATGCAACTTTGCTATGTTGCAAGATATGTATGCAGAGACATTTTTAAAGAACTCTGAAATGTAAAAATGTTAAATTATATACATTGGATAAGACTAGAAGTAAGGATGGTAATATTTAAACAGAAAAAAAATTATCAGGGTCTAATAAAGCGTCTACAGACACAGCTCCGTTTATGTGAAATATATAGATATCTGGTTAAGTACTATCTGGGCATGGGTACATTACCGATGTTACTCTTCCGGGGGAGTATCTAACATTCCCCATCAGGAGAGAAGACTTTAAGTACTAGACACACAACTCCCTAAGAACAATAAACCTCGTACTCACAAGAGCAACATCTTGCCGGCTACTCTATAAAAGTAGGGCTGTTTAAAAAAAAATCTGTTGGTAAGGATCTCAAGTTCTCCAGAAGTTACTACTATACAACCTTCTAACGTTGCCTCACAAAGTGCGGACGGGTGCATTAAACTTGGACTGTAAGTGGAGGAGCATTTTTGTAATACTTTTGTATTACTGTCAAATTGTTATTATCTCTGCTACTAGTTTTACAAACTATTACCGTGGCGGCCTACCTCTTAAAAGCTACACTTTCAAACGTAAAGTGAGCTATATCACTTTACCACTAAAATCATAAATATGTTTTTGAATTTGACCTCAAACAGTTATTTTTTTCAAAGAAAAGTTTACTTATAAAAAAAGGGACGAGAATAGGGATGTTAATTGTCTTTAGGCTGGACTGTATAACATCTTTTACGATGTGAGTTCTATTATAACCTTATACACCTTATCATTTCACTAGTTCCAAGTATTGCCATTGGTAAGTCGAACCTTTAGGATCTTTTTGCTCCCAGAAAATTCGCTGCGAGCCTAGTCCCGCCAGCACTTCATAAAGGATTGCCAATCCTATTCTCTAACTTGAAATGTTATAATAGGAGGGTCGACGCTATAGCTTTAGTTGATGGAATCAAAATTTTCCTCTTTTTTCGCTATCTCCTTAAAGGTATGAACATATGTTGATGAAGAATTACCGACTTATAAAAAAGTGAGCTTACAAGCCAGATTTGAAAGGCAAAAGCCAAACTACTATTATTGAGATAGTGAAATTTCTAATTATTTCATAAATTACACATAAACTTCCTTAAAAATTGAGAAAGAGAAACTGTTTAACATTAATTTTTGGAAAACTTAAACCAATTACAAGCACGCGCCACTAGCTTCGAAGAAGGGGAAGTAGAAGAGGACGGTAAAATGGGGGCAGCCTTTTCATGCACATCTAAAGTCAGTCGGTTGGCTTCTGTGCAAGTGCAAAGATACTCATTTTTAAAAGATTCTTTAAGTCGCAACGAATCTACAATCAAATTATTTTAGCAACGAGCTTTTTGATTAGTTTCCTTACACTAAACAAGTATCACCGCTCTTAAAAAAAAGGGTGGCTGCTGGAAGGAGACCACAATCCTGAAAGGTCCGATGCAGCATAGTGGAAAGCGGCGTGCGGAAAGGTGGGGCAAGCAAGTCAAAAGATTTTACAGTCTCGGTCGTTGGAATAATTTGCTCGACAGGCTCCACGTGCTGAGCCACAAGGTCGAACAAGGATTGGACGAGCTCGCTCGAGAGAAAGCATGCTTGCATAACTTCGCTGAAAAAAAAATAAAAGAAAGCGTATAAACAAATCTAAGAGAACCACACCTTTCGCTAAATCGTATTCTTAAAGATGTTTTGGATGGCCCGATACTATCTTCGACCTTCTTATTAGTATTAGAGGCCTTTTCTGAAAGTAAAACTTGGTAGAGTCGAAGATCGTCCTCTAAGAGTAGATTAAAAAATTATACAGGCAACTCTAGAAGCAGGTGGACGTGCCAGTAAGCTCAAAAAAAGAATCGGGGATGTTCAAAGCTGACGCGGAGGAGGCTGTTGAAGTTTCAAAGTAAACAAGTCTTTGCAATTCGGAATGTAGTTGAGGCGGTTCTTCCGTCTTACCTTTACTCCGCTGATTTCAATAAATAGTTAATTTTATTCACATGTATAACTACTTTGGCTAGGAGTTCTCGTTTCCATAAGGGGGTCCCTCACAATAAGATAATTCCAACATAAGCGTCCGTTAAAGTAAGAGTATAGAATAAGCTCTTACGAAACGCACTCTGCGGCCCCCCCATTATAGTTGCTTTGAGCGTGGGCTATAGAGTTGCCACCTTCTACTAATAAAAGCAATAAAGGAGAATCCAAACAAGTCAACCGTAGGGAGATTTGTAAAAAAAGCCAGCGCATCGTATCTTTCAAAATAGTTAAAAGTTAAAGGTGGGTCATACCGTCATTCGTCCTTTTCGCTTTGATGTCAACTAAGGGTGTCAAACTACTTCATAAGAGACCCCGAAGAATAAATAAAAGTAATAACAAGTAAATCAAGCATAACAATATTCACTTTATAGACTTTTGGGCAAAACTTTCTTGTGATTCTTTTGATGAAACTTTGACATCAGTGCAATTACTAAAGCAATAGCTCAGCTTAATTAGCTTCTTATAATAGTCGCACGGCGTTCCGGTAAAGGTGTTCGCGCCGTCAACAAGTAATAGTCTAATGTATACTCTTCCAGAAAATAAGCCTAACGAGCTGAGATGGTAATAAACCTTAAAAAAGTATTTTCTTAGTCGCTAGATGTACCGTAAACTTGTATATACAATGTCTTCAGGAAGAGAAAACACCTTTCTTTGTACAACCAGATTAATAAATTTGGTTGAACAGATAAATCCTTGGGAAAGATCTCCTAATTTGGTGCTTCTATTAAGATCTCTAGGAGATATACATACATATTAACTATTATTGTAATTTACTATTGCCACATATATTCATATACAAAAATCTACTGGACGCAAACTCAATAGGTTCAAAATGACATAATATTTGAAACAAAGTTGTTCCTGGTTCAAAAAGATCAACCATAACAGGCTGCTCAATAAGTTTTAAAGCCTATAAAAATATACTTGCTATCATAAACTAAATAATATTTATCCGGCTCATCTTACCACTTCAATATTAGTTTCTTCTAATAATTTCAGTCTCTTTCTTAAACTTAATTGATGGCGAGCATTCGAACTTATTGAACCCAAAGTATCCACTGTTTTAGCAGTGACGCCAAGAACGCAAAGTTCATATTCTTTAACGTCTAAATTTAATTTTGCACAAACCTTATAACAAGTTACTAACATCGTTTTTACTCAAATATTAAAGAGTTTTCATATTAATTTAATAATGTAGTATATATATAGATTATTATCATAAATATATACAGTTTAAATTTTATAGTAAATAACCCTTTCTAATAGAGTAAAAATAGTATGATTTCCTCCAAGTGTCACTTCACATATAATAGAACTGTAAGCCACCTTATAAGTCCGACTCATTTTTTTCTCAACAGCAAAGTCTTCTTAAAGAAATGGTCTTTTGAAACAGCAAGTCTATTTTAGTGTGCGTAAGTTATATAGCAAATCTTTATAACCCAATTAATCTTAACCAATTTGGGTCTCTCTTTACAATAAACACCTAGACCCATGTGGCGCATATACTGTCATAACTATTTTAGTGGTTTTAGATAATTGAATTTAGCATACAGTAATTTATCAAGTAAATAAATTTAAAGTCACACATTACTAGTCTAATGAAATTTAGAGCTTCTGCACTGTGCTTTTTCTACTTCTTCCGAACTTTTGTTCTTGTATATTCCTTTAACGCCACCTCGCTGCCAAGAGTTGATGATTACTTGTGTGTGGAGTAGTTTGCTAGTGTACATAACTTTAGCACCGCTTTTTAAAAATACCTACTTGAACACGGATTTTCTGTCATTCTAGCTTTACTGTCTTATCCATATCCCTAAAATTTAAGAACTACTGACAACCAAAATTTAAGTAATCATGCGCTATAGTTTACCTTGAAACTATTTCTTTTTTAGATATGTAAGTTCTACAAATCTTGATCAATTTGTTGTATTACATTTAAGAAATCATCTTCTGCGTTCACGCTGTTTTCCAACGCCACCCTCTTGGCCCCTCCATCGAAGTTAATCCAGACCTACGCCTGGAGTGTTAAAAGTAGAGAGGGTATAACAAGTTATGTATGTTATGTATGTTAATTTACCATTCCGAGCTTTAAGGTTGCCTAAGTAGCTCAGCGGTTAGGAGCATTGTCGCACAAACACAGTCCTGGGTTCGATTTCCACAAAATTTTTTTTTTTCTAGTCTATAAAGGTTGCGTATGTAACCTCGCTTATATAAGTTCGGATAGCGTATACATAGTAACAACGGAACAAAGTTTACTTACTGAAATTGTGCAGAAAAAATTTTACACGAGCATTAACTGCTTCAATATACTCCTTGCCCTAATTTACTAGTCGAAGATAGGACTGATGGAAATCATTATTGCTCAGTCAATTTACTTCTTTCTTGATTCGTAGATTCCAAAGTACTTTAAGTGTCTACTTAACCCTCGGGGAGATTTTTTCAAGTCAACTCTAAGTTGATAAACTAGAAAATTATGACTGAAAATTTTATTATTAAATTAAACAAAATAGATGATGAAACTGTAGGGATGGATTAGCCCTGCGCTAGACGCATGTGGTAAATGTGCACGTGTCTACGATATCAACTCTAGGAGAGATATCTTTTCAAATCACAAATTAATAATGGATGAATTTTTAGGGTGGACGATAATAGGAAACTTAGGGCGCATTGGCATGTTCATCAGATTATGTCTTAGTAAACTTAGAATATTTTAAACCTAAAGGCTTTATGACCCGTAATAGATATTAGAACTTCACTATTTTCTAATAAAAACTGAATAAAACTAATAAAACATAAAACTGGTTAGAAACTGGAGAGTAAAACAAATACACTTTGCCTATCCTCAGTTCCCGGGATTTAAGGTGTAATAAGTTGCAGTAGTTGACCCATAAAACCAGTTTCGACTACTCAGAGGGAGCATTGACAAGTTTCTATGCTATCTTTAATTTAACATATCAATTTAGGTAGCATAATTTGTTGTTAGCCTTTGGATAATAATTTTAATCTTATTTTCACTTAAGAAGTCTAATAAATAAGATTATCATTGTACATACACAATTTATCCCATTTTGGTATTCAGATATTTTAAACATTGACTCATTTCTTTCACCGGAGGCCTCCTCTACACAGAAACCCAAATTTTTTAATATAGCCCTCTTGTTGGATAAGCATTTAAGTTTAATTTATTTAGAAACATAGAAGTAGTAAATTAAAAAGCTTGAGGCAACTGATTATCTTGCTGCCCTCTAGGGTAGCAGGAAACCAAAAAAAATATTTGCTTGCTCGTTAGCAACCTGAGGAGTCCTATTTTAGTCTGCACGGTTTAGCTTCTAAAGTTTGGCCTTGCCTTATTGACAAAAGATCTCGTAAATGTTTAAAAAAAGTGTAGAATTTTTTTAGCTTAAAAATGAAAAAGTCTTCCCTTAACAAAGGAGGAGAAACGACTCACGCAGACCGTTCAGTTAAAAGTATGGCTTCTCGACCACTTAATTCAAATCTTGTTAGGTTGGATTATTGTTAAACATCTCAGAATATTTTCTAAATAATTTACATAAGCTTAATACTACGCTATGGATTTGAAGGGAAATTAGCCTTAATGATGGAAACCTTTACTATGTGTAGCAGTCCAGAATTCCTTCCTTTTGCTTACACTTTTAAAGAAATTTTTAATATTGTAAGAAAACAAGAAAAACACTGGTTATAAATTAAAGTATCTATTAAATTATTATTTTGTACTTATCCTTTTTTATGAACGTATTTAGTTTTAACCAGGACTATTTAGCTTTTTTTACCCTAATGAATCAGTTTAAGTACGCCCAGTGCAATTCTTTTGGAGCTTCCGCTTTTTTATCAGCTGAAACCTCCTCTTTGGAACTTTTATCTAGTTACTTAACGTGGGACTTAGTTGAAGTATCTTTGCTGCTCTTGCAAAGCAAGGAATCTAGTTAATTAGCTTATTTCAACTTGCTATTTACTTGATTTACTATTTGGTGTACAAGATTTCGTTAATTTAGGTGCCCATACTATACGACTTTTTATAAATGCCTTTGAAAGTTTTTTCTTTTCGAGTCCAAAACGTTTAAAATCCTTTTTTTCGGTTCCAATTCATCGGGCAGTTCGATGCGTACTAAATTAAAGTTTATAGTATTGTACACTTGGTATTAACTATTTTAAATATCTCTGTACTTTAAAGATTGTCGATGCGTGTTTTAAGATGCTAATAAATAAAGAACTTGAACTTGAAGGATTCAAGGAAACTAATCTATTCGAAATTTATATAGAGAGTTGGTTTCTACTTCATAAACTTCTTAGCGTATTATGCCGTGCCCTTAAGATGGTTTGCCTTCTTTAAATTACTGTTATTTTCGAATTTTATTGCCTTTTTTCTATAAAGAACCATAACTAATTGTGTCTTTAAGGACAGATATATATGCAAGGAGGTGAAATTTGAAGTACAGACCTGTCTGAGCACCTACTACAATAAAAGTTCCTACGAAACTCGAATTTTTACTCTGAGATCTCTGGCAGCTATGTAATAAGCGTAGTATGGTGTATTTGTTAAAATCATTAACTTATTAAACTAATAGTTATCCTGTTAAGGTGAGGCTTTGCTTAATTCTTGATCTGTTGAGAACAAGAACCAACTTTAAGAATCTCTCGGCTTTTTGCAAGTTAAGAAATAATGGAACGTTAACTTTCTGCAATGCTCCATTCTGTCTTCTGCTGATCCCGTCCTCTTTAAATTTGAACGACATTTATAGTAGTTTAACTTCAGCTGTTGAAGGTGAGCCTTTCAAAGTATTATTGGTTGTTTTTTTAACCATCTTTTTAGTTCATTCGTATGAATTTATTCAATGCGCTTTGAGAACCAGTAAAAAAGCTCTTTTTCCAGAAAGTGACTGCGAAGAAATAGTCCGACTAGTTTCTTTTTTACTTATGACTCTCCTTGAGGTGCGGAAACGCCTTTCCAGCCCGTACACGCCGGCGATGTTGCCCGATAACTATAAGTTTTGCGGTAGAGGAGGCGCCTCCGGACTGCGATGCACCAAGTGTCTCACAGCTTTCTCGCTGTCTTTACCCCGTTTGATACCGTTGTATGTCGAGAACATGGAGAAGCTCTCGACTAGTGGCAGGATCCCCGATAACTGCAAAATGCATCTCGATTTAATCACACAAAGTTGTTTCTACACAAACTAAGAAAAACTTGAAATGCGTAAATAAGTTAAGTTATGAAGATTTTTCTTAACTGCTTTCTTGGTATATCTGTAGTAGGTTTTCACCAAAAAAACTATTATAATTTCTTATCAGGCAGTTAAAGAATTTTTGCGCCTCCCATAGTTTGTAAATACGAAAGCACTATTGACACTATACTTAGACTTTTTAATTTGGGTTTTAATAAAAACACAAAATGTTATTTGTACGTTTTTGTATAAATTCTGTAATTAGAGACTTTCTTAATTCTTTAGTAACCACGAATCGGTTAAGAATTTTGCACTGTTAGCTAAGAATTAATAACTAATTCTCTACAACTTTAAGGTTTTCTTTCGAGACCTTCCGGCTGTTCCAAGCTTTTTTTACAGATAAATAATCTACGGAGTAAGGCAAAGTGAAAAATAGTATACTTCCTAGCAACATAACTGTTTAAAGAATGTACTTTTAACTTTAATAAAAAAGTTTAATAAAAATACGATAACGGTTTTTATACAGTTCTCCTCATAGTTATAAAATTAACAACAGAGACGTCCTTAACGAGTTAAATTCATTTTCAGAGGGCCTGCAAGTCTGTATGTTTAGTTATTTCATTTTTCTTGTATATTACTGTTGAAATTTTTATTAAATTTTTGTATTCTTCATAAGGATACATAAAAATACCTAATGTACGTAAAACTATTTTATAGAAATTTATAATTATTTAGTTTTTAAAAGGTACACTTGTAAATACGGGGCTTATCCCTTGTAATGCAGAGATAATGCGGCGCTGCGGTGTCCCTTGTGCATTAGTTAATCCGTGTAATGCGGTGAACCTCTTCTTTAACCCCCTATAGGTTACTGGTTACTATGTTTACCACTTGTCGCCTAGGTTCATTTTAGTGATTTCGCAGAAAAAAACAAATCTATTTAAGCCCCAAGGTTTTGCCCATTTTAGGCTTAACTACAAATTAAAACAGTTGGTTAGTGGCAGTTCGAGTATTCGGAGTCGACTCTATCGAGTGGGTGCACCCTCGAGCCAACAAAGAGGGGGTTGCTGACATTGTGGTTGCTTTGTATGTTTGCACCTCAGCTTTACATGGGGGTATGTAAGGTATGAATGGTAAACGTTGCCATCTGTTACCTGATACTAAAATTAATAATGAAAAAAATACTTCTTTCAAAAATAATGGTGGTAACAACAATAATTACTCAAGTTGTTTCAGCTACTATAACGACTGTTCCCGCACTCCTCTTGGTTCAACTGAAATTCAGCAGGTTTACACTAATTCTTCACTCACTATTTAGTGACTGTCCGGCACTTCTACTTTTCTTAGTTTTCTTTAGGTTTCCTATTTACATGTAGCTTTTTTTAACAGCTTTTATCAGTTAATGACTCTCTAATAAAAGCTTGCAAACTGTACCAGGACATCTGGACGTCGAAAGATTTAAATTTATGGTCTTAACATTCTATTTTATCATATACTCTGCTTTCTTTAAACTTTTATAAGTTCTTTTAACGACCCTTCTGATCTTAATACTTTTTATTAGTTACTTGAGATGTCTACACCGCAATATTGTAAAATTGGGAATGAACCATGACTTCTTTGCTCTTAATCTATTAATGTTTACCTCATTTACTAGTTATCTCTCTTATTTGATACCACCTAACTATAGAAATTCCAAGGAGAGCACTAATTTAAGCTTAGATAACTCTTCTATAAGTTTCTTGGGACCAGAAAAACCGGGTTAAATAGAATAAAATAGTTAAAGCCTTAACAACGTTAGATAATCTAATAAGTAAAATATTACCTGGCTGATTTTTTCAAACTACCGCTCTTCTGTATAAATAAATAAGCTATATATGATAACGCGAGCAAATTCTATTGTTTACGCTTTATTTATACGTATGATGAAATATGAGGGCGGCATGGGCTTTCCCGTGTGCCGTCCAGCCTCAAAAAAAAAGTTTATGTTATACCCTCAACAAGCAAACTAGACCAGCTTATCAGTTCTGCCTGCGATGTCTGCACTCAATTAGCTTTGAATATGAGGTGTGGTCGAGCATGTACTGCAAGCACTCTATGGTGGAAGAGAAAAATAGCAGTACACACGTGCGAAACAATGTTACCCTTAAACGATTTTTCAGCTGGCATGTTTAGGGGCAACATGTGCTTAAGCAGATCGAAATGGTATTGCAGGACCCCCGGACAGAAGCCAAACTCAGCAGCTAATACAGACCACGTGATCTAGTAGGGGGCAGTTAGCGTGAGACCCAGTTTGAAGGAAGTAACCAAGGCCTTACTTCAGACTCATCAGCAAAGCCTTTTTCCATAAGTTTTTTGCAGAGGGCTTGATAGTTAGAGATTTTCCAGAATCTTCCCATTTTTCCTCTGTTAGACCCATACTTTAGTGTGTTTCTCCTATAATATTTGTTATTTAAAACTTACAGAGTACAGGTTAAGTGGAATTTGTTAAGCACCATCTCACTTGACAACTTGGAGGATTCCTAGTGCCTACCCTCTTAGCTACTTCAACCCATGGAACACCAAACCACACATGCTTTAGTTCCTCCTCTGTGCAGCCCATGATCTCTTTGATGGCCTCGACAAGTCTTTGTTGCTCCTCCTGAGACCAGTAGCCTCATCACAAAAAAAAAAGCTTAGGAGCGTTATAATGAAGAAAGCAGCTATAACAGTGCACCTTTTCCAGTATATTCTTTTTGCCAGAGAAGTTGCTTATAACGACTACCGATGCGGTCAGCTGTCCTGTCCAATTTGGCTGCTAGCTCAAGAAGTGGTCGTTGCTTACTCCCCCTTTTTAAATATCTTTATACATAAGAGAAAGAAAAGATATAAACAGGAAGCTTATGTAAAAGTAGAGTATATGACAAAGTACTCAAGTATTATCTGATCTTCTTCGGGAGTAAAAGCTCTTTTTAGCTTAGTATTGTATAGTCTCTTTGTCCTCGCTATAACGGATCTAAGTGGCCTCAAAACACCGGTAGCTAAACGTGAAAGTAAGGAAAAAATAGGCTTATTTAAGGCAGTAGTAAAAACCCTTAAGAAAACTACCAACAAAACGCCAAAAATCGGCCGTTTCTACAGAAAATTTACTTTCTATTAACGATTCTAAATCTTTTGAGCCGTGGATCTGTGGAGAAGACAGATTGCAACAAATTAATTAGAAAATTAAACGATGATATACATCAGAGTATGTTTTCACGTTATTACGTATTAAACCATCTTCACGCCAAGTAAACTTCCCAGTGTTCCACTCAACTCCTAAAGGTATGTTCATGAAAAGTGAAAATATGTAATTCAGGTTTAAAGTTAGTGAAGTTACCGGCTTCTCTTAAAGAAGCTTTTAAATTTTTTGTCCAAGAAAATGGGAGTTCTGCAAATATAATTCCGCTATCTTTAGCGCCAATATGGCGAGGGGCTACCAGATACTTTTTAATATTAGATACTGTCTTATTTTCACCCGCATTTTCTGTAGCTAAGGGAGTAAAGTTGGTTTGTAGACCTTTTAAATCGGTTATCGGTTCAATACAGCTCTTTTTTCTTTTTTTTTTGCCAAGTAAGTTTTTTTTTCGTTTAACCTTTTTGGAAGACATAAGTAGTGGCTCTGAGGGTCCCAAATTTTTTAAGTTTTCTAAATCCTTCTCAGCTCCCCCACACCGGAGCTTTTTTTCCCTATTAATTTGACTTTCCAGTGGTTTAAAAGTTTTTTTCTACAGTTTTGCAGAAGTTAGCATGTTTATGGTCTGTGTTAAAAGTTAATTTTAGTAAAAGTTTTACATTAGGTTGGGAGTTGATCAGGCCGTCCTGCTGTGTCTTGAGTCTTTCCTCTTTTTTAGAAGCGACTCCCTTTTTTAAGGACTCCCCTTTTCTATCCTTCTTTTTCTTCTTCTTGTATTCACTATTACCGAAATTATATCGATGGCTTTTGGTTTTATGCAAAGAACCATTTTCCTTAAAAATAATGTCTTCCCGGTTATCAAAGGAGTCTACAGTTTTTCTTGTATCTTTTTTATGCTTTTTGCCCTTCATATTATTTAGTTTACAGGAGAACTCCTAGCTAACGCTCTTTTTTGAGCTGCTTGTATTTCTGATTAACCTCCTTTTTCTTTAGCCTTAAAATTTGTTAACTCAAGCCTAGATTTGGCCATAACCAAGTTATGAACAACATGCATACGTAAAGTTTACATGTTAATTTAGCCGTGTAAGAAAAGGGTACACAAGTACTTTCGTAACCGCCCTTTGTTTTGATGGGGTGACGGGCGTGGTTGACGCTTTCGTTTCCGTGAGTTCTTTTTTAAAATATTTTTTTGTTTCTTATTTTGAGGTCATCTTCCGAGAAGTAACCTTACTTCTCCGGCACGTACCTGTTGCAAATAGTCTTCGTTTATTTTTTTTAAGTGGTAAGCAGTGTTATATGTCTTTTATTTTATTAATAGTCCAACATGCAGCTCCTTTTTCAGGTATGTATTGAGGTATTTTAGAGCATATTACAATTTTATTTCTAAATTGTCCTCAAACTAATTAATAAACTCGGAACGAAGTGACTTAGTAAAAATACTAGGATTAAAGCCTTTGTCATACCCAAAATTGTCGACTTTAATCGTTTAGACAGTTATATAAGCTTATTCTTTAGAATGAAGATTGTTGAGGTCAAGAGTACTCTAAAACTTTTTGTCATTTCATCATTTGCTAACTAAATCATGTAGGTCATTGCATGTTAAGCAAAATTATATGGCATTACGTTATTATTTACATAAAGGAAATTACGCAATTACAGGCCTAGTTCCCCTTTGTAAGGATAGTTGTCCTCAAATGCCTGTACTAGTTTGCAAGTGCTTTTAGGTAGCGTTATAAGTGTTGTAGTAGTGAGGAGCTCTTGGGAGACGCTAGATTGCAGTGTCATCGGCGAAAAGCTCGAAAGGAAGGGTGGTTTCAGTAGTAGCAAGCAGTGAAATTAACGGCTTGTCCAGTGCGTGGGAGGGCGGTGAGTAATAATGTTACGGAACACCAGCTGGCGGTCAGCGGTACGAGCACAGTCAGCTTTAATTTATATTCAGTAGGTGCATTATACCAAAACGAACGTAATATTGTAAAGGTCTCACGTAGTACATTATTTGCGCAAACTTAAAGGCTTTGTTAACCTCAAAACATTCGTCAAAGCACAAAAAGATGGATGGTTGCACGCTCTTCGAGTCCACCTCCCAGCATCTATTGTACCGAGTTGTGGGCTTTTGTCTTATGCGTTTATAAGACGATTAGGCTTCAAGATACCGCGTAATGCGATCAGGCTCACTCCCGGCGTCAGTAAATAAGATTTATTATATAAATAGGTAGATGATTTCGGCGCCACACTACCTCGCTACTCACGGCAACATGAACAGCTGCTATTGTTCACTGAAAGTTATCGACTACCTCATCTAATAAAGCGGAATTCGAAGGGGGAGTCAGAGTGGAGGACAGTGAAAGCGCAATCGTAGCTGTTAATATTGTTGTAAGCTTACCTTGGTCCGAGGAAAGCACAGCCAATCGAGGTCGGCGGGTGTAACAACAAAGACTGAAAAATTTTAGCTGCTTGGACTATATCTTGCGTATAGCATGAAACCGCAGTTTTGGACAATGGTCATTCTCTCTAGCTACCATTCTATATGCTAGGACTTAATACCTAATCATTTTTCAAGGTATCGAGTTCTAACACATTTCCTTGCCTTAACAATTCAATCCATAATTTATTATCTTACAACTTCAAATCTTAAAAGACAAATTATCTTGGGGATGGTGACGCAAACCCGAGCAAATGGGCTCTCCATTTGTTAAATTTCTTGCCAGTTCAAAAAGTGAACGCGTACATTAAGGGGATAAGAATTCATTTATTAAGGTATCTGTTTTAATAGTGGGAAATCTTACACTTGATAAGTTGTAATCCTAAGTTCGCTTTCATTCCATCCAAGGAAAACCCCTATTATTCTATTTCTCTGTTTTACTGATTTTTTATAGGTTCCTTTATTTGTAATACACAAAGGTTGTATTTTTGCTAGTGCTTTGTTATTTAAAAGATTCCTAGTTATTTGCTCAATTGTTTTTAAGTAGTGGAAACCCTAGTGAAAAGTTTGATAAGTCTTTATTTATATTTTGGTAATATTACACTGCATGCTTGATATCTATATTCCCGCAACATAGAGGAGGTTAAGGAGGGTGATCTCCCTCACATTTTAAAGGTCTTTAGAAATTTTAACATAAAAACAGTGAGGCTTATTTTTCAGCGCTTACCAGCTTTTCTTCTTCTCTTTTTCCCATATATAAATAATTAAATAAGCGAGTAGATAATGCAATATTGTTATAGTTCTCGATTTTCTAAGATATGTTTAAAAACGTTTATGTAGTTTATATTATAGGAAATGCGCATGCAATGCATTAGTTATCAAATCTTTCCGTTTTTGGTTATGCAGAAGTGGCTCGGTCTCACAAGTAAACATTCTCAGGAAGTTGATCGAAGAATTAGGAGACTAATTTGTAAAATCGCAACTCATAGCAGATCAGATTATATCTTTTATACATTAAGCTTTTTTGTAATCAGGATTTATCTGGTGTCTTCTGCATAAAAGAGGACGTAAGTCACTTGCTAAGGATCATGTTTACTTCCCTTCTTTAATTATTTTTCAGCGGGGGTTAACTTTTTGGAGTGGTGGGGATAACAAGCACTGTATAGGGCTCGCTATCTTAATCTGTTTTTCATTCACGATGGGTGTTTCTGGCGATGACATTCTAGTAGTACCAGAGGCTTTTGGTGTTATTGAAAAAAATTTATTCAGATCCTCTATTTTCCATCCAGTGCATTTCCCTTTTATTAGGTATATTGTATGGCCTTATTTTGTTAGTTGATATTTGTTAAAGAAAGTTACTTAGAAATTTAAAATTAAATACTGTTCTCGTATTATCACCGGAAAAAATTGTCAAAACTCTTCTTGAATTTTTTCAAGGCGAAAACATAATTGTGGTACTTTTGTACCCCATTTCATTATTATTTTACCTGTTGATATTTTTTAGAAGAAATTTTACTTTACGTATTCAGAATCTTTTGGGGCATAAGTTGCGTGCCGAGTTAGGTTGGAAACCTGTTGGTGAGGAGTTAATTAAGGAAGGCCTTGAACTAGTGCTTGATTCAGAGAGATATCCTCTTTTGATTATGTGCTCGTAAGTGAATGTATTGCGGCACAATTTTACTTCCGCAGTACTTGTAGTGTTTTTCTCTTTGGCACAGTTTTGGTGTGCACCAAACAGGCATTCTTGTTGGGTGTTTGCGAAGACTTCAGCTTTGGAATCTAAACTCCATTATACAAGAAGTAAGTTTTTTTATTGTTTTGGTTTCTGGCATAGAGCCAAACTTGTGGTAAAGCTTGTTATGTTTGAAATAAAAAAACTCGACGTATATTGTCAGCAGGTTTACTAGACCTTTTTACTACGTTTTGAGAAAACTTTTTTTTTAATATACCTATACTGCGTAACAATTGCTTAGTTGTTACCTTTATCATTCGAAGGAAACTACTTGCTCCTAAACTTGGGCTTTGCATTAGTCGTAACTGAAATAAATATAGTATCTAGGAGCTGTAGTTACACTGGAGACGCCTTTTTCTTCTCCTTTTCCGTGTTTCCTTGCCCTTTCTTCATTTTCATTTTAATATACTAGTATCGCTTGTTTGTTAAAGATAAAAGCCGATATATGACCGAACTATTCGTTGAAGTTTTTGACCTCGACTTGATTACTCTTCCCAGCAACTTGCCAGAATGGCTTAGTATCCGTGCAGGTAAAAACTTTTTATCTTCTAATAAGAGGCCGTGTCAGCTTTACATTACTAAAATAGTTGAAGAATGTTAAAATGGACAACTAATCGTTTAAAGGGGGGCCTTGTCACTATATTTCATAAATCTTTTTTTACTAATATATTTTATAAGCAATAAATATTCAAACTTTGGAGCTTTTTAACATTACACTGTTGTTGCCCTAAAAAAGCGTCTGTTGTAACAGTAGAGAGCACTTTTTAACTCGAGTGTGGGCGATGGCAGTAAGCTTACCTCGTCTACTTGTAGCTCCCGCAGTCAGCAACAATACTTTAAAAAGAACAGTTAAGCTCCATAAAATTTTCGCATACAGGCGCTTTAGAAAGCACTAAGTCCACTATTACAATAACTCTTCTTTGTGTCATTACGTTTAATTATACCATGCCATAGTAAATGTGGACCATCACCTTTGTTCTACAACTGTCTAACAAGGGTACTAGACTAGCCTTTCGTCTTCAATAATAATAAGTTTCGAGAGGATCGGTTCAACTTTATTTTAAGGGGCAAAGAGTTTATTCAGAAATCCTAATAGTAAAGATTACGACGGACCCAACCCTGCGGGTATTTTCTAATGATTAGCTTGCGCATCTCGTCAAACAGCAGTATTAAGCAGGCGAACGGGAGGGCCGATACCCAGTAAATGGCTATAAATTATGATTATTTGAATATGCCATGGAAAAAACAGCCGTATTAGAGACGTTTAAGGGAGTAAGTTCGAAAAGCAACAGACATCCCGGGTGCATAAGTGAGCAGGATAATCAAAGTTGTTTCAAAGATTAAGGCTATAATCAGATGTTTGTTTCTATTATAAAACGATATAGTAACATGGAATGTTGCTTAGAAAGGTATTCTTAGCAGTTAAAAACCTCATGCCCTGGTGAAGGATCGACAACATCCGTGTTTTACAAATAATAAGGTCTGCCCATTGCACCTAAAGCACCACCACCCAACAAAAATGAACACAAGCAGAAGCGGCGGAGTCGCGGCAACATTTACTCGTCTAGCTGCCAGAAAATCACAACTAGACTAGTAACTTGCCTGAACAATAGCAAGCAAGAAAGCAGTCTGAGCCATCGATTCGAGATTCTTGCGACTTTCGTAGGTCCACTCTTGGCCATAAGAATCCCTCAGGTTATTGATATTTCTGTTATCCCACTGTTCTCTCAGGCCTTTCAGATGCTTCGGTCTGCGGGTCCGTAGAGGTAATAGAAGTCATACAAGTGCTATGGCGATGAATGGCGTGCTTACAAAAAGCCGTGGTCGCCCATCACAATGAGGTAGTTAAAAAAGCCAGCACACGCCTGGAGCACCCCAATTTGGAGGTAAGTGATTTGCAATAACTTGTTATTCACGAGTTTGTCCTTCTTGGAATCCCGCGGCCTCCGCTTCATTATATCTGACTCAGCGCTTTCGTAGGCCAGAGATATGGCGGGGTACATGTCAGTACCAAGGTCGATGCAGAGAATCATTATTGTGCTTCCCAGCAGTAGTAAGTTATAGATGAATGTATAAAACGATGCAGAGCACACCTTTACCTCAAAGGCAGTGGTATATTAAGTAACACATTAACCAAAAAAGGCGTCAGCTCAGGAATATTCGAGGTCAATGTGTATGCGATGGATTTCTTAATGTTGTCAAATATAAGCCGGCCTTCTTCTACACCTTTAACTATGGAAGAAAAATCATCGTCCAACAGGATCATATCTGCCGCTGACTTGGATACATCTGTACCGGCAATCCCTTATAGTGTGTATATAGAGTATTCGTTAGTAATTTGTGGCGTCAACGCCATCATAAATAGTTCAACCCATAGCAACGCCGATGTCGGCCTGGCGCAGAGCGGGAGAATCGTTGACACCGTCACCTGCCGGAAGCTCATTAATGCAAACAGCGCGACAAGATACAGAGGAAATACCGGTCACAGCAACTACGTTGCCAACGTTCTGGACCGCTTCTACAATGACCAACTTCTGTTGTGGCGAAGTCCTACTTAGAAACACCTTACTAGTTTATAAAATAAAACTGCGCGTCTTTCACCGCCAGAACCTTGCAAACACAATCTGGTCGTAATCCCGTATAATATTCTGCACCTCTTCCTCATCCATTTCCTTAAGCTTCTGCCCGCTTACCACTATGGCCTTGGCCTCGCCTGGTTCCACCTGGCTCTCCGATATGCCTGTAAAGCCGAGATTGGGATCAGTGCTTAGACACTAAGTTGGTAACGGACCTTTTCGTGCGGCTAACTCGTCGACGGTTTCATCTCGAATAATATTTACGGATCGGGCTATCGCCTTAGCGGTGAGAGGATGATCGCCAGTAACCTTGAAAAGCCGATAAAACTTCTTGACACAATTTTATATTAATAAAGCCACCATAATAACACGTATGCCAGCACTCTGACACGCCTTGACAGAGGACGGGACGGCTGGCCTGGGTGGGTCGATCAAGGCATATAGCCCGGCAAAAACTAGAAGCAAACAATGCATTGATAATATATGCATTGAGTAGGCAAGCAGACGTATCCCGACCGTACCCAAACCCTCGCAGGGAAAGTTGGGTTTCTCGGAGTCAAACTGAAAGCCCGGAGGATAGTGACTTGTGTCCAGGTTGTGATATGCAAAGCCCAGCACTCTTTCGCCAAGGCCACCCAATTCTTTGTAAGCTTTTTCAAAATGTTCTTTGTAGGTATCATCGAGCGGCGCCTCCTCATCACACACGAGTATTTTACTGCAGCGGGCAAGGACGCGTTCCGGAGCTCCCTTACCAAAATGGTCAGCCACCAATAAAAAATTTTCACTTCAAAGAGCCAAGTCAAACCTTCATGTAGACAACAAACCGCCCGCCCTCATCTCGCTGCTCGCACACCGTCACGGCATATCTGGCGAAGCATTGATAACAGCTTCCAATAAGTAACACAGAACAGAACGCAGACTTATTAGTAGAATTAAAGGGGATCTCTGCAACTTTAGGGTTGTCTTTTCTGGCGTCGGAGATGGGCCGAATTTGCTGGCAAAACTTAATCAGAGCAGATTCAGAGGCATCGCCTTAACGTTTGGGTAGTGTGTGTGTGACGGCATAGATAAGCAAAGCGAAGGTATCAAAGAGCGCATGATGCCAAAGTACCGCTCGTCCTCCACTCGCTAAGGGGCTTACTCTGGTCTGTCTCCTCAAAAGTAGCTCGTGAGTTCAGCGTGGCTATGCTGTACAGCATTTTAAAGGAATTATGTTCCTTTTGAAAACAGTCTTCAACGGCCGGATCCACTGCCCAGACTCGAAGATCGTACCTAGAAATGTTACAGTAGGCACAAGAAAGAGTGAAATTGCCGAGTAACCACGTGAATACCAAAGATGGTTGACGGTCATGCGATTCTGAGTCAGTGTTCCTGCAGAAATTGAGGCGATAAGATGAAGAAAAAGAGGTTCGCGTTAGAAAAGCAACCAGTCTTATCGGAGCAGATACACGAGGTGGAGCCTAAAGTTTCGACGGCCTCCAAGTTCTTTACAATCACATTGTTCTTCGCCATTTTTCTTGCAGTTAAAGTCAGTGAGACCGTGACCGTGGCGAGGAGACCTGAACTGATAGGTTAGCAGCTATGCTAGGCCCGCTGCGTGGGGCTAACTATGACAGAAAAGGACCTTCCGGGACATTGGCCACAATGATACCAATTAAAAACACGAGGGCCTGCAAAAACCTAGAAAAGAAGTTGGTCCTAAGGAGGCGCTGCAGGGGTTGGAGGCTCCCGCTAAGCTTACTGTTGCTTCTGAACGGTCATGGCCAGAGTGAAGAAGATGGCGCCCAGGAACAAGGCGAGCCCGGTAATGAGGTGGATAAAGTGCCGAATTTCCTTGCGGATGGGCGTTTCTTTTTTCTTTGTCTTTCCTACTAAACGGGCAATTTTCCCTATAAACGTGTCGTCTCCCGTTCGAAGCACAATTGCAGTACACGTGCCTTATAAAAAAACAGTAAACAGTTTTATCCTTGGGCACCAAGAACGGGGGAGACACCTTCAACAGCATTGGTTGAATAAAAAGCAAGATTCTTAGTTTCCATTGGGTTGTCGTCTGTGCACTCTGGGGACCGGCTGAGTGCCTCCGCCTCCCCTTATAAGGCTTAAGTTTGAGAATAACAATTAAAAGGCGAGATCCGTTTAACCAGTCAAAGAAGAGTTGTCCACTTTAAAGCTGGAGGCAGTGATGATACGGATGTCCGCGGGGACTACATTACCTGTAGAAGGTCGAAATAATTACGAAGCGTGAATGGATAAGCAAGAACGACTTGCCATAAGTCACGGTAATTATGTCGCCGACCACTAAAAAATCCGCATCCACCTCAGACCACTTGCCATCCCTCAAGACGTGCGACCGTTGTGGTTGCATCTTCAAAAAGCCTAAAGGACGTGCAGTATGTAGTAGCAGGGATGTACGTGTCTTATACTTTTCGAAACCTTTCATGACGGCATCCGACTTCGCCTCCTGGTAGTAAGAGAAGATAGAGGTGATGCAGACCACTGCAATCAAAACAACTCCCAAGTAGAGCTGTATAAATGACTCCCATTACAACCTGTTCTAGTGGTCGCTAAAATCGTTTAGAAACAACGTTGTCTCTAGGGGCACCGCTATCGCGAGAGTAATCGATGATATAGGCAATAATGGCTAACACTCCGCCTGTTTAAGAAAGCTGTCGGCGGTGGGCAACTTATAAGCAACAGAACAGTAACCAATCCACAGAAGCATTGAAAAGCCTCCAAACAAAGTAAGTAAAAACTTAATAACGGCAGGAGTTTGTTTCTGAGGAGTAAGTCGGTTAGGTTTTTCATCAGCCATCTTCTCAGCGATCGCAGATGGCAATCCTGTTTAAAAAAAGTGAGTAGAGTCTTTTAACCTTTAGTATATGCAGGCACTTCACCAGTTTCAACGTTGGTATTATAACGAGAGTAAAGTTCCTCCAGAGGGACTAAATGTTCATCCTATGAAAAATATTTAAACATAGAAAACTCATATAATAAACAAGCAACCATATTTAATTCTTCTTTTAAATCCGCTACGTTGTCCTTGGCCGACTTGCCTTGCTTCAAACGTTTTCTGTTTTCAGCCACTTTTGCTGAGACCTCGACTGCTACGGAGACAGCTGTGTTACGAGCATCGTCCTACAACACTTGAAAGTTTATAAAGTAAATTAAAAAAGTGTTAAAAATATAACCGCTCCTAATATTTGACTCCCTTTACGAGTCGTGCCTTCCGATTGCGAATAAATACTTCCACGTATCATAATTAATCACTAACAAAAAAATTAAATTTTAACATACGATAAAAATTTTTTTTACATAGGACTCCAACGATATTAATTCTCAAAAAATTTAAAGTACTATGTAGTATAAAGACTATAATATCAAAGTAATATATATAGTTTAAAAATGAACCGAATGTAAACAGATAAAAAAAATATTTGATTAGCAAAATAAGTGCAAGTAAAGAAAAAGGTTTGATAAAAAAATCATGTTTGCCTCTTTCTTACAAGGCCGCTTACTATCAGTTGTTGCGCTAAAGAGAAAATTTAAGCAATAAAGGATGGAAATCCAAAATGTCGTATAACCTGCGCTCTTTTAAGTAGTTTGAATAAGACGTCATATTAGATACCTTATAGTAAACCAATCATGGACGTTAAACTTATTTAATTCAGGCTAACAACTCAATAAACAAACGGTTAAATCTTAGCTGGTAGTTTAGTTAATGAAAGAGTAAATAAACTAATAAGGTTACATTGCGTAAGTAAAGATCAAAGTTTGGAGTAATACTTTTTCTTTATATTACAGATAAAAAAATAATACGATTAAACAATTGTTAATTATAAATCTTTTTTTTCTCCTTTTTAATAAAAAATTGTATATATTAACGTTTTAATATATATAAAAGTACTATCAATAACAAAAGAAAGAATAAGCCCAAATAACTTAAATTTACTATGCAATATTTTTATCATTTCATTTATAGTCTTAAATACAATACAAAATTTATCATAAAAAACTTGCGTACCTTTATAAGTGCTTTTGGAAGGTTGTTGCCTATGTTAACCTGGTAAAAAAAATTAGGACTTGGCTAGAGAGCATGAGTTAAAAGTAGTGCAATATACAAATCCTTTCTTATAATGTGACTAAAATCATCAAGTTTATAAAGCAAGCACTCTTCCAATCTAGCATGTTACCTTATAAATCTTATTTACCTTATTTATCCTTAAAGTTAACTTAAGCTATCTTCAAATTCACGATATTTACACCACGCGAATGAGGGGGTTTTAACCAGCGGTTCCCGGCCGGTGGTTCATGAGATATCAAAACGTAGGCCGCGAATTCATCAGAAAAATAACTAAATAATGAGGAATAACGTTAAGTTCAAATATAAGCTGTTGAAATTAGCGTTGAGCCGAGAATTGAGCAGAAAACACAAATATCATTTGAACGTCTGTTTTAGAAGTACGAGCGTAAATTTCCAGAAAACATTTAAATGCTAACCCCCAAGAAGAGCTCGTGGCCAGGGAAAGGTCTGCACATGTAACATTTTTATTTTTTAGGAAATGGCACAGCCGAAGAGAAATTATGACAAGGATAGTGATGACTTTGGATTCACCTTGATTGAAGTCAACCAAGAAGCGTGACCTCAGTTTGTGCTATATGCCACCGTTCTCTGCAATGATGCGTTTTATACCCGCAAAGCTGGCATGAAATTTAATAAACATTCATCCTAATTTAACTAATTATCCGCCAGAATTTTCCGCTGGAAATTCGAGAACCTAAAAAAATGAAGCTGGGCACAAGATTTTTCATCTCAAGTGCATCGTCTGCTCTTTCTCAAAATTGCGCAATTAAGCGTAAAATTAAAAATCCACATACCATTGGCAAAACTTTAGTAAAGCTTGTCTGCTAAATGCGGTGAAAGAAGTTTTAGGTGAGCAGGTCTAAATGAATTTTAAGAAATTCCCCTATCGAACAAAACGCTAAAAGTGCGAAATGCAAAATTGTCGTAAGATATAACAGCTTAAATACACGAAATCATCAACCGGGATCGAAAGTTGTCGTTCGTAACTCCGCGGTTAAGAGCATTGGCGGCGTACTCAAGGTCATGGGTTCCATTCCCACGACACGACACTCTTTTTCGGTCTTTAAAGGCCGCGTATTTAACCTTGCCCTCATCATTTTCTAATAAGATACTGAAGAACAACTTTTGATGATAGTTAAAAATTCAACTTATATGGTCTTACAGGGCGACGAAATGTACCGAGCTTACACAGTGTGGCCTATTTTTGGTCTTTGTTCGATTTATGAACGAGCATACCCAATTAAAGAGAAACTATTAATAAGAGAGAACTTCAAACTACATCTGGAACGGATGTAATGAAAATAATAACCGATTATTACGACAAATTCGTTATTCTATGGAAATGTAGTTGACTTCTGAACGAATGGAGCGCTCGCTAGGATCACTCTCCTGCCTAGCAACGTTGGTGAAAGAAAAAAATTGGAGAATAGCGACAACACAATGCAAAATTCATCAACAAGCACTGGCATTAAAAACGTTGCTGGGGATAACATTGGTGAATGCACTCAAAAACAGTGCTCTTGTTACGCGTATTTTTAAAATTTTACTTTGATATAGACTCCGAAAACGAAACACTACTTTCCATATGGAGGTTTGAAGACTGTCCAAAGGAAATATGCTAAGAAGGTTATATGAGCAGTGGGAAGAGCTAAGCGTTTTTTCAATTGAAAAAGGATTTTTTGTAATCCAAAATTCGAGATACGGCTGACCTATCTTGTGTACATTTCCAAACACACAAACTTAGTTGCAGCTATAAGATTCGAGCAATACGAAACTGGAAGGTAGCGCAAACACCTTCGGGTTCGAAGACAAACTTTTCGCGATTATTTGAAAACTCGAACTGTGGATAGGAAAAATTGAAGCAACAAATTATTTGGCGTTTCCAACGCTCAAGGCTTTCATTGACGCCAAAGATCGCTCGCATATCACGGTCAAGTTCAATTAAATGTTATATATTACCTCCACGAACTTAAGGAGTTTACAAGGTACGTTCTAGAAATGCAACGATGTGGAGATGGAAGCTATCAAAAATTAATTCGAAACACTTTCTGTGTTAACAGAAGAGTCCCTAATGAAATCCAAGAAGTCGTCAAATTTTTTAGCAAAGACAAGGATACGTTCGAATTAGGCATTAACCTCGAAATGTTCTGGCGCAAAAAGCAATCTTATAAAACAAACTAAGCTTTGAGATAACGCTATGCTGTGTCTTGATATGTATTCGACAACTTTTTTGTGCAAGAGGATTTCTCAATCTGCTTCTCATCAAAGACAAGGAACGGTTGGACGCTACCGACGACATGCTTGCAGCTTTAAGCAGCAGTATTAGTCCCAGAATTTCGCAACGAGTAAATATAATGCAAGCGAAAAAATCTCATTAATTTTATTCACATAAAATGTTGCATTATTAAAACATGTATCCAATAATTAATAGACTAATTATTTCTAAATTAATGTATTTTTCATAAGGGAGTCAACCATACTTCACTTCTTTGAAACGGTGGTACGCTGTATTTTAAAGGTTGGGGGCCACTGGTTTTAAATGAGATGCATGAATAAATCTTTGATTGATAAAGAAGTTCCTTGGTGACAAAGTGTATGGCGGCTAATGTATTTTTGGCTGCACTAAGTTCAGTTAAACCTTATGAAAGAACCAAACCGATGCATAACAAATGAAATTAAAGTGAATTAACACGGTTTACATACGAGCCAAAATGAAAACATCAATTTACTTCGAAGGACTCTAGCTTATATATAAAAAAGGTGTACCTCATTCCCAAAATGTTAAATCCTTCATTGGATTAATCTTTAGAAAGACAAATGCTCTGCTCGTTATTCGTAGCTGTGAAAAGGGCATTATAGTTTATAATGCGCTCCATAGAACTAAAGACAGGTATCTTAAGCTATCTATAGAAATAAGGGACTGTAACACCAAGACAAATTTCTTTATTCTCCGCTGCGCTGACCAATCTTTAGTTTTTACGACAAAGCATGAACTCCCATCTCTTAATGACAAACTTATCATTAAATGAGCGTTTTATACGATGGAGTTTATAAATAAAATGGTTAAATTCTTTCACTTGTTGCAAGCATTTATTATAATAAGTTCATTAACTCATTTACTACTCATCGTAATATACCGTTAAAAGGTTGTTTGTCTACCGAAAACACTTCTTAAACAACCAAGCTAAGGACTGGAGTTTCTTTAGCTCACTCTCCCGCTTAGATAGAGTTGCAGAGCCTATGATTCTTTCAGGGCCCCTAAAATTTGTTGATGATATTACAGATTATCAGGTTGTTTTCCGGAAAAGCCATTATGTTGAGCAAAGACTCCAGTTCATAATTTTTTAAAGCAAATTGTCATTTTAGGCAAGTCTTTTGATTGCTTTAAATATTGTTTTATCGCAAAATTATCAGCATATAAGTAACATTCGCTTAAAAAAAAGTCTCATTAATTTTTTTTCTGCGCTTTCGTCTAAGTCTCGCCCGTACATCTTTAACTTATAAATATATATCTGTGAACAGTTAATTTCCAAAGGTTAAGGTTTAAATACCCTAACACATAGTACCCCTCAACAATTTGAGGTTAATGCAAAAACACAATTAATATTTTTATAACAAAAAATGCATCGTCTTCTTTTATTAAACTTTAAATAGCTTTGACATGTTACAAATGATTATTTACAAAATGATCTAGTGCGCATTCTGCTTTGTGCCTCGTGCAGGGCCCCCGGGTGTCCTTATTATGCCTGTCTAACGATCTTCTCCATACTTGTTGTTCTGGTGCACTACCTTTCTAGTAGTGCAAGTTTTATGAAATTTATTCAGTACAGAAACTATATACCATAATTTATTAATTTTCACTAACCCTGCGACGCTACTCATCGCTAGAGGCAGCCTCTCACAACCACCCATAGAAGAAATTAGTCTCTCGGGCCGCACCATTGGCTAGCTTACATATATATTTATACAACTTTGCCCTCCAAGTTATAAGCACTTAATATTTACATATCACACAAATTTTTGGAGTTCTGTGTCTATGTTAATGTCATCCCCCCTTCCACCCCCCTCCAACTTAAAATCCTCAACTTTTTTAATAAAATTTATGTTAACTTAATTTAGCTTATTTAAAGGATCGATTAACAATGCGAATTTCGCGAAGTGCCACGCCATACTATTTTGAAGAAGGAACAGATATAGGAAGACTTATTTTAACTTTAAACCTCTCTTCCTAAAAAGTTTAAAGGCCATGGCACCATTATAGGTGACAACCTAATTTTGAGGCTCTCATTAAATACTTGAATAAGAATTTTAATATACGATCCACGCTTCGTTTAAATGTGGTGCACTTGACCTTGATAAGTTAAACATCAAAAAGCTTTAAAAAAACCTTTAAGAATGTCTATAGGAGAATCTCGGTATATGAGACTTTCCAACATAAAATGTGTCACGGAAGTATGATCTTAAGTTTCTTTAAACACAACCTTTTGTATTTTTGTTAGCCACGTACGTCCATATTAAAACCCAGACAGCCCCATTGACTAAAAATTTGGAATGAATCCACTATATTACCGCACTAACACTATATATAGAGGCCACGGAATCGCTGCTCATCATTGCGTGGTTTTTAGTTTGCTTCAATTTAATTAAGTTTACCTCGGTATTCTGTTCAAATTTTGACGTTATAAGCACGGACTCTCTTTCAAACACTGATGATTACTAATACAAACTGACAAGGATCTTTACTATGGAGCATTGCCTTTGGATATTAAACTAGCCTTCACTGAACAAGGCAACATGACGTTTTCTTTCTGCTTAAGAAGTCAGCGATTGGAATAAGAGTAACTATGAGCAAATAACGAGGAATTTTTTAATCAAGACTTAAAGAGTTTAACAATAACTAGCTACTAAAGGCAAGGCTCTAGGAGCTTCCCATTGCAACAAAAAAAAAAGAAAGCTACTTGATTACCTTGTAGTCATAAT